ATAAAAAAAAGGTCTATTAATATAAAACACACTATCTTTTAATATAAAAAACATATCTTTTAATATAAAACAAAGATCTTTTGATATAAAACAAATCTATATTCATATAGAGCATATTTATATAAATATAAAACACATATTTATTAATATAAAACACGTCTCTATTTATACATAACAAATCCTTTTAAATATAAAACACATATCTATTAATATAAAACACATCTCTATTAATATAAAACACATCTCTATTCATATAAAACACCTCTCTGTTAATAGATATAACACATCTCTATTATTGATAATAATAAATAATAATAATAATAATAATAATAATAATAATAATAATAATAATAATAATAATAATAATAATAATAATAATGAAACATCTCTATAAATGTAAAACATATCTCTATAAATATAAAACACATCTCTGTTAAAATAAAACACATCTCTATTGATATAAAATAAATCGATATAATTAGAAAACAAAACTTAACAAATAGAAAACACATCTCTATACACATTAAACAAATCCATATAAAAACATTAAAAAAAAATAAGACAAATCTCTACACATATAAAACACATCACTATTAATATAAAACACATCTCTATTAATATAAAACACATCTCTATTAATATAAAACACATCTCTATTAATATAAAAGGCATCTTTATTAATATAAAACACATCTATATTAATATAAAGCATATCTCTATTAATATAAAACACATATCTATTAATATAAAACACGTCTCTATTAATATATGGCAAATCTCTATTAATATAAAACATATCTCTATTGATATAAATAGAAAATATATTTTTCTCTGTTTGAGTTGGACGAATTAAGAGACAAATATTTTCTTTCTCAAATGAGACCAAATTGTGTAAGTTGGGCTTGGTTATTTTAAAGTATAGCCAGGGCTTTGTAAAGGGGGATAATAAAATGATTGGATAAAGAGTTATCGGATAAGTAGTAATCATTCGCGCATAGACAGACACAGGACGAACACGTTTAATTTTATATTAATGAATGATTTAGTTTGTATGTTTGAAAATCTTGTATCGTATATTGTTAGTTTGACGTACTTAACCATCGGTTGCATGCTTTGAGGCATCAGTTGCTATTGGTAAAAGCGGTATAAGCTAAATATTTAGGTACTTTTTAAAGGATCTAGACATTGCCTGGTGTAAGGCATTATTTGCCTGGCGTTAGGCATTTTTTGTCTTGTGGTCGGCTTTGTTTGCCTGGCGTTATGCATTGTTTGCCATGTGGTCGGCTTTGTTTGCCTGGTGTAAGGCTATGATTGCCTTGGTGTAAGGCTATGGTTGCCTGGTGTAAGGCATCGTTTGCCTGGTGTAAGGCTATAGTTGCCTGGTGTAAGGCATCGTTTGCCTGGTGTAAGGGAATGGTTGCCAGGTGCAAGATAGTGGTTTGTATATAAGTGTACAGTGCTGTCGTTATGTTTGGTGTTATTAAAGTGCCTGTTTATAGCCAAATGCACATTGGTGTGTTTTTTATTTGGGGAAATGGGGATAAAGAACAAAACTTAACAAATAGAAAACACATCTATTAATGTAAAACACATCTTTATTGATATAAAATACATCTTTATTAATAGAAAACACATCTCTAATAATATAAAAATAATATTTTTATTAATATAAAACATATCTCTAATAATATAAAACACATCTCTAATAATAAGATATTGTTGATTCAAACAAACACACATTATTTAATAAAATTCTGACCTAAGCTGTCACCTCTATCGCTAACAAATTTTGATGCGTTTTTACTAAGTCATGGGCAATAACTCCAATTCCGTTGATCGAAAAATTGTCAAATTTAATCTTGACTAAGATTTCATCATTATCACATCAATTTAATTTAAATCGGATGAAAACTGTACTCTCTATTGTGTTCACAAACAAATTTGACGCGTTTTTCATAAATCAAGGGCAATAACTCAAAAACCATTCATCGAAAGATAGCCAAATTCGAACTTGTTCAAGATCTCATCACTATGAATATTCACACCAACTTTCATTGAAATTGAATGAAAACTGTAGCCTCTATTGTGTTCACAACCAAATTTTGACGCGTTTTTCATAAGTCAAGGGCAATAACTAAAAAAACCATTCATCGAAAGATCGTCAAATTCGAACCAAGATCTTATGAATATAAATGATCACACCAAATTTCATTCAAATCAGATAAAAACTGTTGTCTCTATTGCGTTCACGAGCTAATTGTGGACGGACGGACCGACGGACGGACAGGGCCGACGACAATATTCCACCACATTATAATGTGGGCGTATAAAAACAAAACTTAACAAAGAGAAAACACATCTCTATACATATTAAACAAATCCATATAAAAACATTAAAAAAACCCAACAAATATAAACAATTTGTAAATAAAAGAAAAAATATAACAATGGCAAGAGAATAAAACATTGTTGGTATATATTTTGTTATGTTTTATTCTCTTGCCATTACATCTGATGACGACACGTGTATATTGTGTTGAAACGTTATGTGCCCAACCTTATTAAAGAAGTGTGTTATATTCCATAATATTGTCCTGTGTTTTGTTATATTCATAAATATAGATCAAATCTCCCCAAATATAGACCATAGACCACATCACCCAATTAAAAATCAAATCTCCACAAATATAGACCAAATCTTCACAAATATAGATCAAATCTCCCTAAATATAGGTCACATCTCCCCAAAGGCTTACATGCTTTTTAGTAGGTGTAAGAAACCCCTACTGTACGGATTTTCGCAAAATATACGCTTATTTTTAGAGAAATATGTCTCCTACTTATTCTAAAGGTTTCAAATAGCATATTTTAAAAATATCTTCTAGTATAATGTATAAGGTTTTTTTAAAGAGAAATTTTTGCATACTGTCCCTTTAACATCAAATTATTCTTTTTAAAACAGCAAATTATTTTTTTTAAAACAGCAAATTATTTTTTTTTACAAAAATAAAACGGATCTCCATATCATACAAACTTGTACAAAGGTAAATTAATTCGACATAAAGAACAATGTAATTTACACAAAGGAGACCAAAATCTCCGGAAATCTGTACAGATATTTTTGTTTTGGATTTGATATTTCTGTTTAAAAGCTATTTTGTAGACTTAAAAAATATAACTTTATAATGAAACAATAAGAAGGAATGTATAATTAATTAATGTCTATACCGTCTAATAGAAATTGTATGAAGTTGAATCGACACGATTTCTTCCACCCAATGATGCAGAACTATTTTTAAAATATATTGTGCTAGACAAGATAACATACACCAGTAACTACAAGAACAGGTGGCTGTTACAAACGCGTTACCCATGCAATTGTCAAGACTATATATTGAAGTTGGCAGGGAATAGTCGTAAAACAAACACAGTATACACTGACCTTTATGGGCTCGTTTTTTTAAATATGCCATGATGAAATTAATTTTTAAGTGTCGAATAAAATTAATCATCTGTTAAGATTGGCTTTGGAATCTGCGGTATTCGGGCAAACTGTGAATTATATATATCAAAAGGCCTAAATAATTAACAAAAGCAGAATCTCGTGATGTCTAGGTTTTTTTGGTATGTTTATCGGGGTCATTTAGGGCATTTATTTGCATCATTCCATTTTTCAGTCAGATGTTTTTGGTTCCTTTAATTTTCGTAACGATTAACAGTATAATATGATGTCACTATCGCAAAAGCTGCTAATAATATATAAAACGCTTAATACAAGAACCAACCATGTCTGACTGACAATATTAATAATACTAATCGATAATAACAGTATCCCCCATACACATAAAAAGTTTTAAAATCTTTTTAAGATTAAGAATAATTGTCCACATTTTCATCTGGGCGTATAATAGCCATTAGATAATTTTCCGAAGTATAAGAGCCAGGCGTTGTGTTCTAGGCCTACTTTCTCTCTATACTATTTATATTTTTATTTAATGAATATGTCGGTCAAACTTTCTAATTACTACTATTCGTGTGCGGCTTGTCAACCGGGTCAGCAGGCTCGATCCAGACTAGATAGTCCTGAGAGCAAGTAATATATCTGGAGTAAACTGGACCCTAGTTTGTATTCGCTTATCGCTACACTACTTCGGTGCGAAGCTTTCGATGCAATGGCGGACTAGTTCATATCTGGAGGGGCAGTAGGGGATGGGGGTGAGGATTTCAATTGATGAATATATACAATTGTTGAACAAGTTTTAGACCTTTAATTTTATGTTCATTCTAGGGGTAACATTCCTTTAAATTCCTTTCAAACGTATCAAATTGTGAATAATAGCCTTTAAAGCTACCATGTCCTAATATAGGAAAAGATAACCGTATGGTGTTGTAACATCATTAAGCATCTTTACATAGTTAATCGTAACTAAATTCAGAGTCTAATCTTGGGAATGTATTTGCACTATTGTATAACATTTCTCTATCTCCACAATCCAAGAAGACTTCAAGAAGACAATATGAGATGATAACTTTATACAGACAATATAAATTGTACAATTATTGTAATGTAGAAAGTAACAATACAAAATGAGTCACTGGTTAATCAAGTATGAAAAAGCAAACAAAGATCTTGCAGTCTTAGAATGCATTATTAAATATGGGATGATCAGTTTGTCATGATAGAAAACCTTTGCAAAAATGCATTTATGATGTAATGTCTAAATCAAATCTCTTGGTAAATGAAAGCAGGAATTATTTGAAATTATGTTTAAAGACTTTAAATTCTTCAGCTCTCTACAGTTTGAGTCCATGAATTTTACTCTGAAATATGACATTTGTCTTAAATTAATCAAGTTATGGAATTAGAGAATGGGTCAGTACATTGACTTTAAATCAACCAATGAAACAACATAAATAGAATATATTCACCGTGAAATATTTCCAAAAGAAATACAAAATTTGGAGAATTAGCACAAATATTCATTGCTAATGTTCAGGATTACAAAGACATCCGAAAGAGACATTAGCAATGAATATAAAATTAGTTCATGGCATCAAGTAATAATTAAATTGTGGGGCCCTTGATTGCACAGTTCTACCTTTAATCGAACAATACAGAAGCTAAATAATTTTCTCATCTTTTTCCTTCTCCATCATTTTGAATTCTGTCCGCACCTAATATTTTTTTGGCACACATGGAACATATTCTGAACTCTGTTCCAACTTGATTTATTGAACGTCCTGCCGATTCCATAAATCCTAAAAGTGCAGAACTCACAAATCATTGACCCCCAAGTTTCAATAGTGTGTTTGACAAACTGGACAGTACCGTGATCTTTCCACTCTTTCATGTGATTTTTTGAATGACATAGGTTTACATTTCGTTTAAATACATGACTATTATATCATTATGAGCCTGTTGACAATTGACATAGACCTTGAACATGGGTTTATCAATGAAAACAGACATTGGTTTGTATCTTATACAGTACTGGTATTGTTGAGCCCAGTATAATAGCACTGGTCAATCAGGAATAACAATGTCTGAGTCTCTGTCATACCAGTATAAACCTTTCTTGTCATACCAATATAATAATAACACTGGTGATTTGAACACTTGGATCACATCCTAGTTTGAGAATATAGAGTAATGTCAAGTCTTATTTATACATCACTTCTCCATAATTTAATAGTCTTATCATTCTCTAATGCTGCTGATGCTATGATATTTTCAGTGGGATGACAGGCACAACATAACACTACATCTGAAATAATCCAGGATAATGGAAATGAAATATTGTTCAATGTTACACATAACTACCCCGTACACACTATGAGCAACCACAGCTCCCTTGAAACAATAAAGATATCAGAAATGAAATTAAATGGTATTCAGAGGTGACTAACTTCAATAACTGAATAAGCAGCATTATTTTTCGCACATCCTGGTAAACTTAAATATGAGGAAAATAGAAATGAACATTATATAAATGAGGTTTACATAGATTTACAACTATTTATTCTACCTCAAAACGAAGTGTATTGTTGGTGTTTATGTGATGTATCGACCCTACCTGTTTATAATTATCAGTGCTCAAATATACAAACAGATAATAATCGATTACACAAAGCTTCTATCCAAGGGAGATAATTCTATATTATACCTGTATGACCCTGTAATTTTTGAACTATTTCTTTAGTTTGTAAATTCCAGATGAACACCACATTATCTTCAGAACCAGATACAATCCACTGAAATAATCAAAAACATCTATATTGATGATAACTATATTAACCAGCTGTATAGCTATAGAAGATGAATTGGCTATATGAGAATATTAATGATCAACAGTTGGAAGATTTAAAACACCAGCTGAATATGCACCTAGTTGGCTGATGACAAGTTAGTGTCCTCCTATGATTAATATTAATGTTACAATGTAATCTACCAAACAGCTATAACTGTACATATTTGCTGGTGTTTCAAATGTTCCAACAACTAAATACTTCATGCTTTCAATATATAGAAACACATTACACTCACCTTGCCACCAGTCACTGAGAAGTTTGCAAATATACAGTATTTTTCATTTTTATGTCCAACATATGTCTTTAAACACTGAAATATAAGATGAAGATATAAGATATAAGACAATATATAATATAAACATTTTTTTTAGTTTTTTTGTTCAGTAAATACTCTTGGATGTACCAAGCACTATACAGAGACTATTATTAATCATATGCAAAGAAACATTTATTTAATGTAACAGATGCAGTTTGAGCTGCCCAATTATAGTTTCTAAAAGTCTGATTTGTCTGTAATTAGTTTAAAACTCACCAATGGAGACTAATGATGTAATAATGACTTTAGTGACAATATATGATAGGAGTTGTATAAAGAGGTAATGGTAAACGAAGATACTAACCTTGCCTTTACTGTAATCCCATAGTTTTAATGTGCTGGAAATAAAACAGGACCATTTAATAACGAATAGACTTTTATCTAACTTGCTTAATTCAAAAATATGAATGACCTTTCATGATTTTTCAATTTCAAGCCCAGTATTCAATAAAGCAAAATTTTTTTGTTGTTTTTACTTAACTTATTTAGTCATTTCATATGAATAGCTAAACCAATTTAATTCAAATGGAAAACTCGATGTGGGTCTGTTAGAATTGTCTTAAGTTTATCATTGACTCACAATAATTAAACCTGTATATATAATATAATAATCTACATTCTGAAAAAAACATTACAAAGTAACAACTCAGAAAAAATATTACTAACTTATCTAATGTGGCAGCTAGAATATATTTTCCATTAGGTGAGAATTTTACAAAGGAAACTGGAGGATTATCATCATCTACAAAATTTCAAAATAAAATTTATATCAAAATATTTCTCGTGAGTGGATGGATCACAGATGAAGCCTAAATGGCATCTTAACTAAGGGTTGAATTAAAGCAGTATCGTATTGAAAATGATTCAAAATAACTGGTTACGTAAAATAGTGACTAGCTCCATGTTGTTACTGGAAGTTGTCAAGGAACAAAAGGAAAACTTCCTCTCAGGCCCTGCAGTCAATGAACATGCAGTAGTCATGTAAGCATGGTCTGATGGCCATCTTGTCATCATCTTTTCATTCATTTGTATGTTTATGTTTGTGATGTCCCCCCAGGTTTTTATGTATTGTCTATCATCATACGTGTCTTCATCATAATAAATATCATCAACCATACATGACTTTTCATTAACTCCTTTTGCTATCCAATATCGCATTCACTTTGCTTGGTTTTGGGTTTCATATTTTGACTATAACTTACCTATTAATGTTTTTAAACACTGCCCTGATGCTGTATCCCAGATACGACTGAAAAACAAATATCAAACTATCAACAACTAAAACCTATTTTTTACAAGATTCAAAACTATTTGAAAACAAAATATACCCTAGAGTTTCAAGAAAATAATTTATAGTATGTTAAAATAGTAAGTTTTCTCTGGAATATTACAGTAAAAGAACTCACCATAACCCATCATAACTACTAGATACTATTAATGAACCATCTCGATTAAAGTGCACCTGAAATAAAGCGGTCTTTTATATAATGACTTATTACAACTCTTCAGTTCATATTCGTGAAGGAGGTTTACCTTGTAATATTGTCAAAAGGGATTTGTCTTCTGATGGTCATCTATGGGTATGACACACACAGAGTAGAATGTGCTTCCACTTTCTTGAGCACCTGCAATAACTTACAATGAGTTTAAAGGGCGTAATTTTATTCCCCTTTGGATGAATTTATATTTTTCCTCTCTTTGAGTATTCATTGACAACACCACAGATATTGTACAGTGATATTTTGTGATGTTTCATCATGTTTAAAGACGATGAGTAGTGCTTATATATAAGTTCTGATCATCCAGAGCCAATAGTTTTATCATAATCAACAAAAAAAATCTTACAGCTGTTACAGGATCTGAATGAGCTGGTAAAGTTTTTAAACATTTTCCAGTTTTAACATCCCATATTCTTACACTTTCATCAAACTATAATATATAATTATAATATCCAATAATAGCAATCCTTCAAAGCAAACCCAGTTTCAATCCTGTTCAGCAAGAACAACACAAAATAGAGACATGAGTATTAAGTAGATATCTGAATTATCATATCACATCAGGTTTGGCAGAATTTCATGCAATGCAGATTAATCTACCTGGAATCTAGGTTAAAAGTTCTTAATGTCACTAAAAAATACTCACACAAATGACGACTTAAATACATTCATAAATACATTCATAAATACATTCATTATGTTATAAAGAATAGATACTTACTGAGCCTGATACTATCAAATTAGACTGAGGATTAAAATTACAACAAAATACATAATTACTGTGACCTTTTAAGGTTTTTAAACATTTTCCCTGAAATCAAAGAGTAAATATTCATTATTAGAATTATTCATATAAAACAGTTTCTGAAGAAAGTTTTAGATGTCTTTTCACATCATATCATGATCAATTTGCTCTATTTGAAAAGAAATTTGCCTAAATTCAGTCTATGTAGACATTTTTTATCAAACATTTCAGCTTTCCAATTCTGTTAATATTCCTGTCAAATGTGAAGCTTAGAAGAGAGAACAAAGGAGTGACTTACCATAGAAAAATCCCATATTTTTAAAGTTTTATCATCAGAGGCACTGACTAATAATCTACTGTCTGTTGACCAGGCTACATCAGAGATTCCCTACAAACACATATTAATTGCAATTGAAACTGAATTTAATCTGCCTGAGGACGATCTGGCAAGTTAATTAAAACATGGCATAATTGCTGTTCGATTAAGCGTTTATCATATTTACAATTACTAAACGCCATTTTAAGACTTTTAACTGAATTATCACTATCATGAACACAAAAATACTTTTAAATGTTAAATATGCAAAACTTTTACCCACCAGTTTATGACCACTTATTGTCTTTTCAAATTTACCATCATAAGCTCCCCATATTTTTATTAACTTATCAGCAGCTAAAAATATACAGATTGAGATACAAATACTTCAGATACATTTCTTACTTTCTTCACATTATGCTTTTTACTTTCAAATTCAAGTTCTATTAACAAAGATTATTATTCAAAAATAATGTTTAGTTCCAGTCAAGTTTGCAGTCATATCAAGTAAAGCTTGAAATGATTGGCTTTTGCACAAGCAATAGTCGTGCATGGCACAAGGCTGTTACCATAATAAAAAAAACAATATGTGACTTACAAGAACTTGCTAACCATTCACCATTAGGACTAAATTTAACAGAAGAGACAGCTTTTGTATGACCAGCTAATGTGAACTTTAAAGTATAATTAGGTTTCTGTAAATAATAAATCAATGCACATTTATAGATTTACATATTTCACAATTCTCAAATATTGTTGTCCAACTACTACTCAAATTCAAACTAAATCTTTATTTTACCTTTAGAACATCTGACGTTGGACTGAAAGTTAAAATGGTGAAAATTGATGCTGATAGTTTAGAAAACCTCTTTGCAATCCCTTTGAATCTCTCTAAATGATAAATATAGTGGCCTGACTTACCTGTGGTTGTGATTGAGGCTTACTCTGTGTGGTGGTATTAGAAGTGACAGGAGCTGCGCTGACAGTGGATGGAGTAGTAGCTGTTATGGTGGAGGTTGGTAATGGTTTACTCTCAACACTCTCTGTTTTCGGTACAGCTGTCTCTTCAGACATGCTGCTGTTTGGATTTTTTCAATAACTGTTTCTAAAAAATAGACAGAACATTAAATGGTTTTCAGGTAAGTTTTAAATTATAAATATCAATACTGTTTGATACTTTCATCATGGGCTGGCTTATGCGTTCAAATTTATAACCACAGTAGTAGACAACTCAAGAATACGATTGGTTGTTTGCATTTATAATCATCACATTTCAATCAAAGAAGTGTACATGTAGATCGAGGCTATCTTTAAGTCTGGTGAACTATTACAGTAATATAGCCATATTTTCTCTTAATCTACACTGAAATGAGTAAAATTCTGATGGATGAAGATGAAAACCCTCAACCTTGTAGTAGTCCTAGTAGTCATACTCATGTGTAGGCAGACATACATATTACTACTAATATTTACAGGCCTACTATGACTTTAAATTGACATGTCATAATGATGACTGGAATGAAGCTTGTTTTGTTCAGGTTTTTATGTTGTTGACATATTATAAAATCAAGAATCATACAATGCTTTGCTCTAATGTATTTATACAGGACCTTGTTTAGGAAATATGCTCTTGAGCTATTATAGTATACATCATTAGACAGAAAATATGGGTCTATCTGACATGGATATAACCGTACTCATCTTTATTCTAATATTGAGTGAGTGGCATACAAAAAATACACAAACACAAACAATGAAAATGGGATGACTGTTGTGTGCATTACTCTGCTCCGCAATAGACTAATACTGGTAAAGGGAAGTGTGCAATTAACATAAAAAGTAACACTAATCAATTACCTTTCTGAATAACAAATTAATATAGGTGTTGATTGGGAATTTGTTGTGATTTTTTATCACTCAATAAACATCAAACACCCTTTCCCGCTACCCTACACATGTGTATCACATGACGCATGCGCATTAAAAATCAACAATAAACTTTACTTGCGCATGTGTTTTAAGTGCACGATATTTTCGTGAATATTACAGTTATGATAACAGTCTAAACTTATATTGTCTGAAAAACGTTTAGATAAATAAGGAATGTATCAAAATATACCGAGACCTGCAGAAATTGTCCTGATGTTTTCCAGGAAATTGTTATTTTTGTGCCGTGGTCATATCACGTGATCAATGACGTCCAATCACCTGTCAGTGTTATTACACAACGGGATGTTAATGGCAGTCTTGTGAAAGTCTCCGGGAGTGAAACACCGTTTATCCCGACAATATCTAACAAATAACGAAATTTTGATTTAACATTGAATTTTATTTGATATTTTCGATGTTTTAGTACTAAATTACGGAAGAAAATACTCCTTTTAACAGAAATATTACATCTTTTGTGATCATGTGATGAAACTGACCAATCAAATTTCGACATTTAGAACAAACATGATATAAAGCCTTTCTGATCGTGGCGTTCTGCTGCGATGCAATTGACAGAAGCCAATGGTGTGCTGGAGAATCTAGCGAATAATATGGACCCGAAGAGCCATCCGGCGCTGCAAGGGTACCAGTCTAATGCCCCAAACGTCATTTCAGGGTACTATGATATTATTTTTTATATATCACCTGTTAGATATAGTTATTTCAGCCGCATTCCGAGTGTGGTATGAGTGGTGTCGACCGCCATTATTTCATCAGACGCGGTTCACCTCGGCTCTGTCATTGCTCCGGATTTACACAGGAATGAGGATATTTTCATTCATTATAAGTGTGTTATAAAGTGTATAAGGTAGAAGAGGTACGGATATAAGTAAAAAGTGTGAACCTAGTTGGTTATTTATTCTGTATTTTACGATTTTTGTGCCGGGCAATTATCGCGCATAAAGCCGAGTGTGAGGACTGCATTGTTTGTGGAAATTATGTCGGTCGTCAGGAAAATACTTGGTTGTTTTGATGGTTTCTGGACTGTTTACAATGGATTATTTCTACGTATACTACAATTCTGAGTGTTGTATAACAAAATGTTTTAGTTGTGATCATACTAACTAGTTTATAATGAGGACAACAGTTGCATGATAGAATGTATTTCGGCTCCACCCAATCGAATGTTAGATTTGGCGGCCATTTTATTGTCTGGATGTCACATGTTTGCTGTAGTGTGTTTAAAATGAGTCATAATTGAACACGTTGACTTTATTATTAATGAATTAGATATTAAGGCTAATGAAATATACTATAGCTGTAAATAGTGTATGTTTAATAAGTGCATTCTAAAGACACATGCAATGCAATAAAGTGTAGCTTGTTTGATTCAAATTGAAATGGTCCAGTGCAGACTAGACTAACCTAGATTTCTTTGTTTACCTTTATCCAAAATCTGATTATCCTATAATGCCTTGAGGTATTAACAAACATGTGCAAGTGTCTTTAGTTATTTAAAACTGTTCAGTATTCCAGAATCCTATTCTAAATCTTCTTTATAATAGATTCAAATAATAACCTATTTAAGCCCTTGTTGCAATGAAATTTGAATTTGTAGTGTTAGCACTCAAGAGTTAGGGCTATGTACTTTTAACGAACTGGCTTTGAGAACCATTGGATCTTACAACCTGGTATTTATAAACAATTGTGGCAGCTCTAATGCTGATTGATTAGTAAACCACTGTTCCATTACACCTTGCTTTGCATTGCTACTGAAGGATAAATATGCTGCTGCAATATAAATGCAGTCTTTTCAATAAACTTGAGTCAATAGCAAGCACATGTCCCAAAATTAAGCCAATTGGTGCACTGCTGTAGGGTGTTTTAATAGATTAGTTATAACTAGATTTTATATTTCAGGGCCAATGGAGACGTCAACAGTCCACCAAAAATGAATACCGCTGCAGATAATGTAAGTCTGATTGATTTCCTGCTTGAAATTTTGATTAGAATGTGAACTAATGACATTTCAAAACTAATAATAGCATTATTTGTTAATTTAGGTTGTAGTTAGTCTGTTGTGATATCAATAGACAGACTATTTCCATTTAAACAGGTCTCTTTTACATGCTCAATGAATTTGTTGTTTGTTTCAGAATTTAAAAAAAGAAATGCCTTCTACAGCTGGTGACGGGGACTCAAAACAAGCTCCTCAACAGCAGTCAAAAAAGAAAGGCAGGCTCACCAACCAGCTGCAATATCTTCTAAAGGTAGTTGTGAAGGCTATGTGGAAACATCATTTTGCATGGCCTTTTCACGTTCCTGTCGATCCTGATAAATTAGGATTACCAGTAAGTATTTTCCTCTTTTTTTGTTTGATCTATAATTTCTCTTGATTTTGACTTGTGTTGAATGTTACAGTGAGCAAAGAGCCAAAGCAGGAAATGTGTAGAAAGTTGCCTAGGAACTGCGATAATTTTAGCTCGCAAACTTGAAGGTCCAGGGCTCAATCCCAGCAAAGATCAGTTACACAGGCTACAGACTGAGCAGATCCCTCAACCGTGTGAACTTTAGGTCTTGTAGGTCTTGACAACCTAAACTGGCAGTACCACCCAAATGTGATGTCTGTGCCAGTGCTTCTGAGAGTCGGTCTGGAGTTGGCTCTCGTCCTTAATACCAAATGTAAACAAGATAGGTATTGAATCTATGTATTGGTCATGAAATGCACTTTTGTATTGCAGGACTATTTTAAAATAATTAAACAACCAATGGATTTAGGTAGTGTGAAGAAACGTTTAGAAACTAATTATTATTACTCTGCTGAAGAATGTGTTCAAGATGTGAATACTATGTTCACTAATTGTTATGTTTATAATAAACCTGGCGATGTGAGTACATCTTCAATTGAAGAACTTTGTAGTTGAATTCAAAGGAATACTATCTCTTAGAATGATCATAGAATTTAGATTCTCGATCCTGCCAACTTGCTTGGTGTCATAACAAGTTTCATTTGCTGTGTAAATAGATCAGTGTTGAAGTTAAAGTTGGATGCATGGTCGTTGTTTTTTGGAGGAGCCATTTGATGCAGAAAATAACAATTCTGATGGATAAATTATTCAATCTAGCACCCATGGTAATAATATTTGTAGGGTCATTCTGTGTTTACATCAAGATTTCCTTGAAAATTGAATTCAAATTTGATTTCTTTTACAGGATATAGTGCTGATGGGTAAAGCTTTAGAAAAAGTTTTCCTACAAAAATTAAGTCAGATGCCAGCTGAAGTAAGTGGCTTCTTCTATTTTCTAGTTATTGAATATTCAATACATTTGAACTGAACTGCATCTGACAATATCATTGTAATGTGAATTTTGATTTTTCTTCAACACTTTTGGTGTCATGTTCTTGGAAAAAGTTCGAAAGGGCTGTAGAATGACAAGGGAAAACTCTTAACGTCCTACATGTAAACTTGGAAAGTTATGGAAAATCTCTTGCATGCGTTATTAATAGTAATAATGACGATATTTGTATTGCGCAGCAATTAAATCATCGTGGAATTTCTCCAGGCGCACATCTGCATGATATCTCCGTTAAGCACCTGTTGAAATGGCTTAACAACATTTTAACAATTTTGCTTTCTTTTTTAGGAAGTTGAAATCCCTGCACCGACTAAGAAAGGTCCAAGAGGAGCAGCTGCTGCATCAATGGCTGCTGCTCAGGCCCGAAAGTCGACATCCTCGACTTCAACATCTGCAGCTGCATCAACTACTAATCTTACTGATACTCCATCAACAACATCTACATCCACGACAGTTCCTGCTACTTCAACTGAACCTGTCACCGCCACAACACAAACCAATTATAATCATGTACCTTCTCCCGCTGCCTCTTCTGATGCTGCCCCTCCTTCACCAGTGTCTACTAAATATGTCTCGCCAGTTGCTGGTCTACCCAATTCCTCACAAATAAACTCTGTGAATTCAATAAGTAACTCTGAAAACGACATGTCACCTTTGGCACAGTCGGGAGTGGGAGTTACTCCACCTATCCAACCCACAAAGGTAATTAATCTTTTGTGTAACATGTGCACTATCCTATATCAGTGTTATTATGAAAATTAATGGGCACACATAGATAAGTCAAATTATATGGATGAGTAAAATGATGACATCATGCGTGTCAAATGATCTGATAAGCTAGATTTAGAATCTATTTGATATGTTCATGTTTTATGAATATATTGATGTAGATTTTAAACGATGCTGTCAGAGTAAGATTAATGGGTAGTCTGATTACTTGCCCATTTTCTTTGCTGTGAACAAACATTTAGTGTCATATTTTTGATGCAATCTTCATTTTATTTCAGATGAAAAAAGGTGTAAAACGAAAAGCTGATACTACAACGCCTTCGTCTTATGTTCCAACTGGTCCCCCGTATGATACAGTATATCAGCCGCCAAGATCTCTATTAAAGGCCGGACGGAGAGAAAGTGTACGTCAAATTAAAAAACCTAAACGTGACCTGCCCGATGATCAGGTTGGTCTTGATGTGAGAACCAATTTTCATAATGTTTACTTTTGTCATTGTCGTACTCTGGTCAACTTCCTAAATCATTTGAGATGAAATTCTTTCCCTTCCTTCAAAATCAATCCTTGAATGTTAACCACATCCATTTAAACAATTAAATTTTCTGTTTTTTTGTACAGAAGTAGAATTATGAATGAAAGTAAAGAATTTTTGAATGGAAATGAGAATAAATCTCTCTGTATTGATGAATAGTTTATCTTCAAAAGTAAACATTGTAACTGTAGGGGCAGTGTCTTTTCTTTTGTGCATGCCAATTTATTTACTCACTGCATCCATTTTGAAATTTTACATCACTCCATTTCCTTGCATGGTGTTTCGACCACTGTTAACTTCACTTGTTATCACTGTTATTTCCTTCAATTCATACACATTAAAGAATTTTACTAAAAAAAATACAATTTTGATATAAATATGCCCAGCAAAATTAGCTTTCTCATGGAAGATCACAAAAGTTAAATTCCAAAGACTGGGCTAATCTTATTTCAAATATTTTGATGTAGCGTATATCCAGCAAAATGAACTCAATTATGGAAATCTTACAAGGCTAATTTCAAAGAATGGCCCACTATTATATTACTTCAGTGTGTGATTTTTATGGAAATGTCAGTTTTCTTTATGGTAAAATGCATGCTATTGCAATTTGAGGGTATGAAAGATTAATTGTATGTGAGATCATTCTATTTATAGGCTCAACATAGTTCAAAGAATAAAAAAGCTAAATTACCAGATGTATTAAAATACTGTAATTCTGTTCTCAAAGAATTACTTTCCAAAAAACATCATGTAAGTATTCCATTGATATATATTTTCACAACAAATTAATTTCACAACTCAAGTATCCCTGACTATTTTTTTTTCTAAATCAGTTGTTCTATTATCTTAATGATAATTTGAAGTATTATCAAAAAGCAAGGATAGCAACGCATGAATTTATCTCGAATGAACCATCTGCAATTAAACTATTAATTCTGTATGAATAATCATGAGTTATTTTATTTATGTAGGCATATGCTTGGCCATTTTATAAGCCAGTGGATGCCAAGGCTTTAGCTTTGAGTGATTATTATGAGATCATCAAGAAACCAATGGACCTGGGATCTGTCAAGGTGGGTGTTGTGATTAATGTTAAAAATAACTGGGAAATGACGGCTTTCTGAGAGGTCTGATATGAAGGTCACATCTTTTATATCTTTTCTTACTGCAGTCATTTGAGGCATAACATAAGGTCCAAATACAAACCCTTGATCAAGGACTTCAAAATGAAGTTAAAATCAGGCAAAGGGGTTTGGATGGATTTGAAATACATAATTGATAGAATCTTGTTATTTCAGTAGCAAAGCAATAGGTCTTGCCCCTATTATGCTGAGGCATTGAACGTAAGGATTATTTAAACTGTACTTATTTATTTGTAGAAAAAGATGGATAATCGAGAATACAAATCTGGGAATGAGTTTGCGGAAGATATACGACTTATTTTCAGTAATTGTTACCGATATAATCCTCCAGATCTTGATATCGTGGCTATGGCAAAGAGGTTACAGGTATGTACCACAATTGTACCCAAAAACTGGTTTCGAGATGACATGCTTTGATTTGTTAAAAGTATAGCCATTAGAACAGCACTTCATTAGAAAACATGTCAATTTCATGATAAGAACTACCAAAGATTTAAAATTCTGTTTTAACATCAATTTTCTCTTTTAGACAGGAATTATTTTACTTGTCTGAACACATGTTTAAAGTCAACGGATGTAAGTTAAAGATAATCTGTATGGGCAATAATCAACATCTGCGTTTCTTTGCAGGATGTGTTTGAAATCAAGTTTGCCAAAATACCAGAAGAGAGAGCTGGAACACCTGAACCGACTGTACCTTCAGCTTCAGCGTTAGGTATCAAGTCTGAAGATAAATTTAACAGTGAATCTGAAATGAGTAGTAGCCCAGCCTCTAGTGATAACGAGGATGATAGCGAAGAAGAACGGGAACAAAAATTAAAAGAATTACAGGAGCAAGTGAGTAGCAATTATAGATTCATGTTGAACTTTTATAGTATATCAGTAGGACACCTTTGTCAGTTCTAATGCTGCATTCGATACTTCACGTGACTACTTTGTTCATAGGGTCAATGTTGTGTGTTCTTTGGTATTCTACTTAAGAAAAATGAAGACAAGTTTGTAACATTTTCAGACTTTTGAGAAAAATGTAAAAACTATTTCAATGGCATCTATCGAATGCAGAACAGGTAGTGGATGAGTAAAATGATGACATCATGCGTGTCAAATGATCTGATAAGCTAGATTTAGAATCTATTTGATATGTTCATGTTTTATGAATATATTGATGTAGATTTTAAACGATGCTGTCAGAGTAAGATTAATGGGTAGTCTGATTACTCTAATTCCTGAAAATTCAAACACTATTTTATTACAAGATAATAGGGCATGCTTATCCATTCAAATTGTGAAATTGAGAGATAATGGTCCTCATTTGGGTTTGAGTTTCCAAGGAAATTTTATAGCATTGACTTAGTACTATTATTTTAACATTCAGAACGGCAAGTACAGAAAAATATTAGAATTTCAATTATGAAAGCTTTCTTTTACAGTTGCAAAGACTTCAGGAGCAACTATCTAAATTAACTTCCGAACATATGCGCAAGTTAAAGGAGAAGAGAGAAAAACAGAAAAAGAAAAAGAAGAAAATTAAGAAAGAAAAACCTGAAGAAGTACCCATAATAGCCCCAGCACCTGTTCCTAGTGTACCTATAGAGACTCCTAAACCAAAGAAAAAAGCTAAAGCCAAATCTCCCTTGCGTAATTCAACTAAACGACCAAAATCAGTGAATAATCGTGCTACTGGCTCTAAGAAAAAATCTGTGGCTAATTTACCTTTAATTCCACCACCGGATAGTGAGGATGAGGACAATGCACAACCAATGACTTATGACGAAAAACGTCAACTCAGTTTAGACATTAATAAATTGCCAGGTAAGAAAGTAATCTGGCAAAGTGTTCAAATTTATATTGTGTGGATGTGTTCAGTGTATTATTTGGATCAGTGGTAGTTCACAACAGTGTTTCTTTTCTGATAGGAATTCTTCTTCTTAAAATGAACATTGAATTTAAGTTATACTCAGTCAATAAGAGTTTATCATTTTCATCAGAGGACTTAACTGGTGTCATAAATGTACAACAGATCAGTGTATAATCCAATAAATCCATGAAACTAAATTACCATTGAAGACCAGTCTGTTTTATAGTAATGACACTGGGAAAGTCCACTGAATATACACTCTTATTGACTAAGTTTTAGAATTTAAAATATAATGTTCATTGTAAGACTTGGTGGTCCTTTAAATCTTGCATCATATCTCAATATTTGAAAGTATAATGGTTTTCTAAGACAAATTTGGCTCTGTTGCCTTGCATGTTATATCTAGATTGTCAGATTGAAAATGTGCACTCGATTAGAAAAGTTTGCCTAGTGTTCCTAGGTTCTGAGATAATCAGTAAGCTTATTTACTAGAATTTTGTGTACTTTTTTGTAGGTGACAAGCTTGGTCGTGTTGTTCATATAATTCAGTCTAGAGAACCGTCCCTTCGAGATTCCAATCCTGATGAGATTGAGATTGATTTTGAAACTTTAAAGCCATCCACATTACGAGAACTGGAATCTTATGTTATGTCTTGTTTAAAACGAAAGAACAAAAAACCCTATGGTAAGTAGTTGATAGTGAAAATCTTATATTCATTACAAGGATTACAACTTAGATTCACAAGGCCCAAGACTATCATTTAGTTGTTTGATATAACCAAGCAAATGACCTCTTGTAAAGTTTCCATAGAACATGTATAGTAAAAAATATTCAAGTAAAATGATGACATCATGCGTGTCAAATGATCTGATAAGCTAGATTTAGAATCTATTTGATATGTTCATGTTTTATGAATATATTGATGTAGATTTTAAACGATGCTGTCAGAGTAAGATTAACGGGTAGTCTGATTACTTGCATAATAAAAAGAGCACTGAATTTTGTTCATTGATCTTCCATTAAAAAAATTAAGATGTTCTCCTTGCTCTTATTTAACTGCTCTAGGGATCTACTTATCTTTGTAACAATTTAGATTGTTTATTTTTAACTGCTCTAGATATCTGTTGTATCTACTTATCTTTGTAACATAAGTTATTTACATTGTATATTTTTCTTGCAGCTCGAAAGCCCAGTGGTAAATCAAAAGATGAAGTTCAAAAAGAAAGGAAGAAAGATTTAGAAAAAACGCTCCAAGGTATTCAAGAACAACTTGGTACCTCAGCGAAAAAAATGAAAAAAGGTATGGAAAGCTTTGATTTTAATGTTTGCTTTGTCTGGAGCTAAAGACGACCTAAGAAAATGTTTAACACTGAAACATTATGAGAGCTGTGCTTAAAAAAAATGATGGCATTGATTCCGTTGAATTTGCTTTTTATAATGCTGATAAATTCTATAATCCCATTTTACAGACGAAATATCATGTTAGAAAAGCAATGTAATACACATTGTATAATTAATACATTTATATATATAGATATTAGTTAATAATCAAATACATTTATATGTGTGATATTTATATTTTCAGAAGAAAGTAATACAGTTGATGTTGTTGGCGGTCCAAGTCGGTTGAGTGCCAGTAGCAGTAGTAGTTCTGGTAGTGAGAGTAGCAGTGATAGTAGTTCCTCCAGTTCTTCGGAATCCAGTGACTCAGAAACAGGTTAGCAACTATTAGACAAAACCAAACACGGGTGCTGTTAAACCTGTAACTGGTATTTAGGCATGACAAGGTTCAGAGCCCATAACAGCTGTTATTTAGACATGACAGGGTTCAAAGTGCTTATCGCCTGTAATAGCTGATATTTAGGCATGTGGCAGGTCCTTGGTTCTGAACTATTAACTTAATCATCAAGTTTCATTTGTTCTGAACTGTATTACCTTTACCACCTGTTATTTAATCCAGACTGGTTCATTGGTTCAAAACTATTACCTTAATCAGCTGTAAATTAGGTATATCAAGGTTTAAAGTGTCACCCATAACAGCTGATACTTTGGCACCTACATTATCAGCTGTTAGGCATGGCAGGTTGATTGGCTCTGAACTATTACCAGCTGTTATTTAGTCATGGCTGGTTCTGAACTGTTACCAGCTGTTATTTAGTCATGGCTGGTTCTGAACTATTACCAGCTGTTATTTAGTCATGGCTGGTTCTGAACTATCAGCTGTAATTTAGTCATGGCTGGTTCTGAACTATCAGCTGTTATTTAGTCACGGCTGGTTCTGAACTATTACTAGCTGTTATTTAGTCATGGCTGGTTCTGAACTATTACCAGCTGTAATTTAGTCATGGCTGGTTCTGAACTATCAGATGTAATTTAGTCATGGCTGGTTCTTAACTATCAGCTGTCATTTAGTCACGGCTGGTTCTGAACTATTAGCTGTTGTTTAGGAATTGCTGGTTCATTGGTTCAAAAACTATGTACCATTGCATAACACTACTATGCTGTGACCATTTCTATTGCAAGTTAATTTATATTTATGCTGTCTGAGCACATGAAAAGTTGACCTTTGAACCATGGTGTAGTTTGTTGTATCATTAGGGTGTCTGTATGTATATGATTGTTGAATGAGTAAATGATGAATATTAGTGCTATGTCTTTCGAAACCGGGATTGTTTTTCTCTGTGTACACTGGTGTATATATATGTTATGTTATAGAATGGGTTCATGAGATGGGGTCCCTTTGTACTTTGTAAGCCATTGAGTGCAGAATGTATTGTAAGAGGTCAGTCAAACATGACTGGCAACTAAATGATCTCTGATTCAGGAGAAATTTGGGTTTCATGTACCAACCAACTTGATCTTTTATTTCTAAAATAAAAGCCAGGTTATTTATTTTCTATCAATGCAAATCCATTTATTGCATAATAATTCATTTCTATGGTGCTTTTTAGTGTTTTTTTTTTACTATATTATACACATCAAATCCATAATACATTTACTGTATTGATATGAACCTCATGATTTATCCCAAGTTGCAGGAGCGCAAGTCGCGACTGGCCTCAAATTTACTACATTTGCACTCCATGGCAGTATTTATATCAGTAAACCCAAATCGCTCCTGGAACTTTGTTACTTACTGATCAAAATTTATTTATGAAGATTTTTTTGGTGGTTTTTACACCAATTGCTTTATTAATGAAAATTGGTCCATAGCATGCTCTATTTGTAGGCAATATTTCATATTTGTGTCGTGATCTTTTTGCTAGAAATTTAATCATGTCTAATATTAGAGTCGGATTTATTTGTTATATCTATATATAAAGCATTTGTATCAAAATGAATTGTAAATTTCTATTACTAAGATTCACATTTTTGTACATAACTTGACCATTGTCATTTCATTTACTCATAGAAAAAATCATCAGAAATAAATATGGAAAAATTAATTAGTTATTATTTTAGCTGTAAGGCTTGTTTTAAGATCTCTTATATTACATTCTGCACTTGATGTGGCCCTTTATTTAGTTTTTGTTTTTTGTCTTGTTTATAATGTATGTCATAACCAATGTGCATGATCCAAGGTACAGATCCTGCAGCAATTTTAGAATGTGACAAATGTACCAAAGGTTTAGACTAAGATGCCTTATCTATAGACGGCTCACCACATATTCTGCAGGCAGTTTAGGTGTTGGTTGATATGACTCCTGATGCTTGGTTTCTGGATCTGCAAGGGGAAGGAATCCTATACTAAAAAATAGTCGACGTAAATTGAGTTCATTCAGCTATATAACATAATTAGCTTATTATGATAATTTGACCGTTGAACCATCACAACAATCAACTATTCACCGCCATACACTATAGAACTAATAGACTGGTACACCATTTACACTAAAGAACTATTAAACTGTTCAACCATTACACAATAGAGATATTTTAACACTTTAGACTGTTCAACCATTACACTACAGAACTTTTTGACTGTTCTACCTTTACAATATAGACTGTTCAGCTTTAATACTATAGAACTATTAGACTGTTCAACCATTACACTACAGAACTTTTAGCCTGTTCTACCTTTACAATATAGAACTATTAGACCATTCAAACACATTAAAATATTGGTGTTTATGCAAAAATCAATCGAAAAATAGTGTCATAAGACAAAAATTATGTTTTACAGAAAAGAAAAAAGGCCACTCCAAAGTAAAAACACCTGCAAAAGCTAAACAGGTATTGTAGGAATTTATTTTTTTATTATTACATCAAATCCTAAGCTTTGAAAGTATAAGTCGTTGATTCAAAATTTAAATGAAATCTCGGGTGTGCTGATTATGGCATTAACCAGTTTGATATTTGTTGCCGATTGTTAGACAGAGCGTCATCATACTATATGATTTCTGACATAGTGGAAATTGACCTGGGGAATTTTTGTCTCCTATTTGCCCATGATAATACTAGTCAGTGACAAAAAAATTAGGACATATACTGTTCCTGTGCTAGTACCATCAGATGTAGATCCATGTACATGAGTTAGTTTGTCAAGTGTGAAAATTTGATTTCAATTGTATGACTTTCTTGGTCTGATTGCAAATACCAAAGGAATTCATAATTAGGAATTATGTCTGAGTGAAGATTTTATCTGAAAATTATTCTAGTAATATACTAATTTAGTCACTGATGATGGTCTTTTTATTATTTTAGTCTAGCCCAGGTAGATCACCTCCTGTACGTATTATGATTGGAGGAAACCAGGCTGTAGTTACCTCCCCTCCTTTAGTATCGCCCAGAAATCTCACATCTAATTTCTCTTCTATAACAACTAGTCTTCCTCCAGTTACAGCAACACAATCTAAACCTTCTCCTGCTAAGGGTAAGCCTAGATTATTTTTATTTTATTAATTTCATGATATTGTAAATATGGCTGATAGGGTCTTCTGTAGCAGAGACTAGCTGTTAAATACATTGTTAAATACATTGATTTGCACCAAGGGAACTAGAAAATAGACTTCAATCAATAAATCATTTGAGCACTTATTTGAAACATTGCTGTTCTAAACTTGAAGAATCTAATTTCAATTCTAATGTTTTGATGAATTCTATTGTTTCTATAGTAACAGCTCCCAGTCACCCAGTGATCACTCATAATTTACCACAACAACCCAGTAGACCTTCGGCTATGGCTACAGCCAAACCTCAAACCAAGAATACCAGTAAGTAATATCTTCATTAAGCTAGATAATTAAAAATTGTTGCAAGGCTCATTCTAAAGATCAGAAGTCATGAATTAATTTGAATTATCATATATTGAAGTTAAAGACACTCCAATATTGAATATTTTTATCTTATATTTGTCTGTTCTCAAACTTGGTCTTAAGAGTTTATATTCCTTACTTACCTGGTGCAATAAATAACTATACAGGAATACCTCTATAATCAGATAAATCCATTAAACTAATTTTTGAAAAAAGCTTAAAATTTTATTAAAGATTAATTGTACCGTAGTATTATGGATAATTATTTTTATGTATTATGAATTTATCGGTATATGTTCCTGGAAGTAGTACGGTCAAGTAACCTAATTTCGTGGAAACCTATTATTCGTGGATTTCCGGAAAGGATTAATAATTTACATGAGCGACCTTGCGCGACCTCCGCATTAGTTTGTTTTGATAAACATGGGTTTTCTGTACAATATCAGCTAGTAGAATGAATTCAGTAGTTTCAAGCAAGGTAAAATGTATTAATGTATACTTTGACAAATACAAAATGGCGGATTTCACTTATTACCAAACGTCACCATTTTTTATCGGCCGAATTTCCTTATAATCCCAAGCGGTAATCGGAATTCCAAGTGTCGTCTGCTAGAATATATTCCAACAAATGAAGTCACATGATCCATGTTAGCAGAAAATTTCTATGAAACACAAAGTGGACCATATTCTTATGTTGTTTCAGTGACTTTTAGAAATAAATCACGCTATGTATCTTATTTTGTCAGTCACTATTTTTTTTTTAAAATCTTGGTTCTTTGAAGGAATTGTCACTAGTTATAATGAATTGATATTAAAGATAAATACTAAGAGAGGTTAATTATACCACCCGGTATCCATACAACGTGTTTTTCAAAGATCAAACATTGTACACGAAAATAGGTAAAGCATTCTGCCGCCATTGCCGAGTTGGTTGCTCATGAAATATGGGTCAAAGTGAAGGATTCATAAAGAAAATCGAAATAAACCAATTTTAATTATTTTGTAGAATATCTGAGGAAACATATAAAATTTTGTTTCGTTTATTTAACTTTGACGAAATTCGGTGTTGAATCCTTATATCCACGAAAATAGGTTACACCACTGTATTGTTCCCAAATTTCCGTTACCGACAGGAACATTGACACAAATTATGTTGCATCGCAGTTTGTTAATAAAAAAGGAGTCTATCAATCAACATAAAAATTTATTCATTGACAGTTCAGGAATTAAATAACACAACGTCACTGATGTCACACCAACAGCTTTCAATAAGTTCCAATCAAAAAACGATCCATAAATTCATTGGAACAAAAGGTCCAAATTACAGGGAAATTCACCGTTCAACAAAGGCAATTCTACCCAAAATCATTTTCGGTCGGTTGTCGTCTGCTGTCAGCCATCGGACGTCGGTTAAGAAAACAGTTCCTGCTCCTACATCACTCCCAAACTAATAAAGGTGCTCTAAAGCGAACACACCTGCTCTCGAACGAACAGCAAATACAAAGTTAAGCTTTCAAACAAGCTTTGAATTAAAGTTTACTTCATATTTTAAGACATGGGCTTATTGAACGTCAAGTAGGAAATAAAACAGAAACGCCTTTTTACCGCACATTTACCAGTACCAGACGTCAAATTGTCAAGGGACATAACTCTAAGCTACCTTTTGGCTTCAGACAACAAAACCTAAATACAATAAAACCTGCAAAAGGTAGCCACAAGTATTCCTTTAAAGTTTGTTAAGAATAATCTGGTAGTTACACTTCCAAGATATAATTTTTATCAATGACTTATTATTCTATTTCAGTTCCAACAGCCAATAGCAATCTAACTGGTAATGGGCCTTATGCTGGTAACATATCATCAATGAATATGTCCTCATCAGTGAATAATGGCTTGGTGTCTGGGACTATTAGTCCACCACCAGTCATATCACCCCCTAATAAAACTCTACCACTAACTGAACTAGCTCCCATGTCTCCTATCCTACCACCCACTATTGATGAGAGGAGTAAAGAAGTGTATAAGTTTGAATTCAGTGATGAGGATTCCATGAGTCCTAAACCTATCTCTAAACCTGCACCTCCTGGGGCTACTATCTGTAAGTATGAATTTATTTAGCTTGATTTGCCTTAATGCCAAGTATAGTTTCAAATAGACGAGGTGCCTTGTATGATGTTGGATTATTGTATTGTGTCCGCATCCTGTTATTTGCATATTTACCTCTTCTGTGTTCTGTTTTAATAATCCTGCTCTGAACACTGCATTGGGGGCTACCGTGGCTCAGTGAGTTAGACACTTAGCTTAAATTGAAAAAGTGTCTAGATGTTGGGATGGTACAAAAAAAAAAACAGAGGCCTTGTGTGCAGTTTCAGAAACATTTTGCTCATAAAAGCAGTTCTGTTTGATATCAATTGTATTCTTAAAAATTGTCAAAATGAATTATTTAAAACTATAACAATAACATATTGTATAATATCTAATTTAAATAATGTATTTTTTTAGCTGCCAGTGGTGTTGGAGTATCATTCAGTGTTAGCTCTGGGTTGAAAGCATCTCAACCTAGTCTTGATATTCCAATGGAACCAGAACTCAAACCTACTCCACCCCCAACTCCACCTGTTCCAGTCCAACAACAACAACCACCGCCATCATCATTACAATCACAACAGCAACAACTTGAATCCATTAAAAAGGTAACTTATTTTCAAAAAAAAACATCAAAAGACAAAATTAGATTTGATTTGAAAAGTAATTTTTTCCAAAAATAAAAACCAATATTGACCATATACAACAAAAATATCTGATCTGAGGTACCAACACTGTTTTATTCTGTTAATTATTTTGTTTTTTATTCTGTTTACAGCAGGAGAGTAAGTTGAAGAATGCTACATCATGGTCCAGTCTTGCTGCTGGTTCCAATAGTTCTCAAGGTGGTGGAAGAAAATCACATGCTACTAGTAGTTTTGAACAGTTTAGAAAACAGGCCAAGGAAAAGGAAGAAAGGGTGAGTGCAAATTCAATCCTGTCTGAAACAAGCTAGTAAGAGTATCACCATTACTGTTAAAATAGAATCTGAAGCATGTTGTAACTTAAAGTTTTATGTCATACCATCTTCAGGTAACTTATTAATAAATAATTTTAAAACAAAAATTAAATTTATAGCCAATTCTTTTCATACAAAAGTTGACGAAATTCCAAACAAGACATACAAATCTAGTTTTATACTGGGATTTATGTATTTTAAAATGTGTTTTATAGGAGAAGTTATTAAGAGAACAGACTGAAAGAAGAAAACAGCAGAAAGAAAAGGCTGAAAGAGATAGGGTTAGATTAGAACAAGAGAGACAAAGGTAAAGATTACATGTCATTTTATGACAATGAATGACAGCTGCTTAGTGTTTATGAAAGATTCCACAGCCATAGCATGATGTAGGCAATTTCCCCACTGCAACCAAACTTTACAAGTGTCTATTTTTATTATATATTTTAAATTCATTTGGACACTTTGCATTGTTCCTTGAATTCTTGTAGTGGGCAACTAATTTGGCAAACTTACTGCTTTGCAGTAGCCTCATGAGATCAGGAGCACTATAGAAACTCTGCATTCTTTCTGTTTAAAAGTTCTCTTAATTATGCCTAGTTAGTGAATACTCAGTAGTAATAAGAACAAAACCATCATGTTGTCCTGTCACAAACTATATTTATTTATTGAAAACTGAAGATGAATAACAAATAATGATTAAATTACAGAGAAAAAGATGAAGATGAAGCTTTAGAAATGGCTCGTAAAGCTCAAGCTAAACAAGATGAAGCGGCTAGACAATTAGAGGCTACCAAACAACAAGAACTAGAAGCTGTTAATAGACAGAAAGATTTACAAAGACAACGAGAACAGGAAAGAAGGAGACGAGAAGCTGTAAGTAGAATTATTAAGATATAATTTTAAATGGATTGTAGAATGGTTTTCAAAAGAATAAATAGTAAATATGGTGATAGGGGTTACATTTTGTGATAGTTCTTGGTTATAGGTTTTGCAGGTTTACAAAACAAAATGTTGCGTTGTTATATGTATCAAAAGAGTCCTTACAGGTGCAGAAAGTAGAACATAATAATACCTTTCATTTAATATAATTTAACATGGATATGATTTTATTTCAGATGGCAACGAATATTGATATGAATGCTCAGAGTGATATCATGGCCTCGTTTGAAGAAATGTTTTAAGTGAATTTTCTAGACTGTATTATATGATTACTAGAGTTGACCTCTTGATTATTACTGATTTAATCATTCTGGTAATGTGTGCTGATTTAAGGTGAAAGCTACTGATTTTCTACCAGTGAAAAATTTGACTGTCTATTAACGATATTATGTGAATTCAAAGTGAAAGCTACAAATATTTTATCCGTGAAAAATTTGACTGTATAACAGCAATATGATCTGAATTTGACATGAAAGCTTCAAAATTTCTATCTGTGAGAGAATGACTGTAAACGAACAGCAATATTATGTGAATTGGATTTTGGTGACAGCTCCAGATATTTCATTTGTGAAAGATTTGACTATAAATGAACAGCAATATGTGTGAATCTGTATGGTTTTACAAGAACAAAGTAAAAACAAATATGCACACTTGGAATGTTAGTATATGACATTGAAGTGAATTGGTAAGAATTGGTATTGATATTGGTGTTGTGTGGTAAAGCTATAGAACAAACTACTATTTTATGAGGTACATAGGTGTTATAACTTGATTGAAACTAAGAGATGGTAATTGTAAATTCTAAGTGAAATTTGATTATAACTCAATTGTGAAAAACCGATTTAACATCATGTGCTCAAAGTGTATTTGAAACAAGACTTATGTACTGTTAAATAACAGAAAGACTTATAATGCAATGTGCAAATAAAACAATTATTGGACGCTTTTGAACGGTATATATCTGATCCTTTAGCTTGCGTAGAATGTGTAGTGGTATATTATAATATAGTATGAAATAAGAGTATAATCAGTGATATATGTAAGGAATAATTCTACAGATTTATAACAATCTGTAGGTAGTGATCAGGGTGAAATATCTTTCAATTTTAAATTATCAAAATACTGTACATATATTATGTACAAATTGATATGGACTTTTTTTTTGTTTTTTGCTATGTAAAAACATGAATGAATGATTAATTTCAATGGTGCTTGAATACAAATAAATTATTTGTCAATTTTGTATAAATTGAATCAAGATTCGTTAGTTCGCTTCTTTTTTCTTTTCCATCCATTGACTTGTTTTCACTATCAGTATTTTTGAGTGAAAATCATCCAATTTCATCAATTTTGTGTAAAAAGAGTTTTCTTCATTGTAAATATCATTTTAAATATGAATGTTAATCGTTAGTCATTGTGTTTAGACCATACAAAATGGTGACCAGATAATTGGTCTACCACAGTTTTCATTTAATTTAATTTTTTGCTTTCAATTTTGAAAATCATTGATACTATTGTAGCCTTAATCATCCAGTTTTGTTATTATTTTCCATTTCATAATCATCATATATACTAGCCCAAACTACAATATTGGAAATTTAAAAAAAAAAAATCCCAATAGCTCCATTTCATTTCATTTCATTATAATTGTGTATTAATTAAAGATTCGAAAATTTTTGAAAAAAAAAAATTATTTATTGTTTGAAACTGTAATTAGATTTGCATGTAAAGATAATCATTATTTTGTATGGCCTCATTTGTTTTATTCACAAATATCTGAATAAATTGTCATTATTTTTGTTAAAACTGAACAAGTTGTGTCATTTCTTGAGATCTCCCTATATGTACTAGATTCACTCTTCAAATATACCCATCCACAGAAGCTGAGCTGTTCAAACGGTTCAATCTCATACTTTATTTATCCATTCTCAATTCAAGCCTTATAACTCTATTTGTGCTCTGTTAAAATCATCAAAGTCTATTTGTGCTCTGTTTAAATCAATAAAATCATCTTTAATCTGTGCTGAATTTTGTGCCAGGTAAAGCTAAGAGAATTAGATCCTGCTTTATTCAGTTTGTCCCTAGTGAATCTTAACTTAAAACTAAATTGCTGAGTAAATGGACTGTGCAGTGATAACATGGTTAAATGAGTTAATTGACTGTCAGACAAGATGTACTGCATGGCTATATGCAACCAAAAGAATTGTCAGCTCAAACCTCTGTTTTCCATTTCAGAGAACACTCCAGTTCAGTTATCATTACTCTCAGATTTTTATTTAAGTATCAAAAAAGTTCATATCAAAGATAAACTACACTAGGGTTAAAAGTGGATGACATTTTTAAAAAGAAAAGAACATAGAAAAGGGTTTGCTTGTTCAAAGCCACTGTAAAATGAAATGAAATGAATGGAGTTTTACATCCTACTTACATCTGCACCATGTGGGCTAATGAAGACGGGAATTGCCATGCAGGGTGCAATGAGGGAAATTTTGCCAGGACAGTGGCATTAGCCTGCTATTTTTCGATTTTCAACTGTAGAGGGATCTTTTACGTGCACAGCCCGTAGCACACGGGGTTTGGTATATTGTCCCATCCGAACGACTAGATGCTTTTGCCATGTCAGCGCCTCTTACCTGCATCACTGACAGGGGGAAACCTGGTTAAAAAATCTGAAGGCATTATCTCTACCTATGCCAGTATTGAACCTTCAGGTTAGCGAGCAAGCGTCTTACTCACTGAGCCACTGCGACTCCCTCAAAGCCACTGTAGAGAACATTTCTGGTGCATTTATGAGTTTAATTCACCTATCCAAATGGATAATTCAAGTTCATACACTAAAACATTGTCTGTTATTATAGCGATCAATACATCAATAGTAGAGTGATATAATTATATATACAGGCAATGAACAGTAAGAAACATTATAACAATTAATATTATAAGAGTATAATGATGGCACTGCATTCTGAGCTTACTGTTTAACAAAACCATAATTTAAAAACATTTAATTCAAGTACTCTGAATATCATTATCCCAGTCTTTATATCTGTGATGTTGACGTTTATCTTTGTAAAAATTACGCCGGCGATTAAATCTGTTATTTTCTATTGGCTTACACATGTTAGCTTCAATTTTCTCCTTGACTTCTTCACTTTCCTCTGAAATAAATACATGAGATTTAAGATGGTGCCTGGTTAACAAATCCAATTATGTTAAAATGTTGACCATAACTATTTTGAAGCTAATATTCCATTTCATATAAAAATAGTCAGTAAAATCAAAATTATCTGAATCATAATTAGAAATATTAAAACAGAACCTGAAACGTGTTACTCAGAGTTTCACAATGTGTCCTACTAAAGTTTGACAAGTCTCATGTCTACACTATGGACGCAACATTTGTTTTTTATTTTAAAGACGTGCTTAGGTGGAAAGCTTTTCAGTTAAACACAGGTTACATCGTATGTGTTTTGTTAGTTCAGTGGAATGGTAATTGCTCTGTATATAGATATAAATGCATAAATATTACCGTGTGATAATAAAGGGTATTCTGACCATTCATCTTTCAGTACAATATATAAACTAGGATTCTCTACTATAGTTTTACCACATAAATTATCTTTTATTGACTTCTCTTTATCCAATTCACAATACCTTTATAGAAAAAAGATTTCAATCATGACCTACATAAGATAAACCTTTACATGCAACTTTTCAAAACTAAAGCAATTTTGCTGCATTCGCTTTGTGTCATTCATGAATATATAAACTCTCATGAAAGATATATACAGCTTAATGGATCAACAGTCACTGGTTTAAGTTTTCCACATGTTTCTCCTGTCTCCTGTCATCCTCATGTCTATATACCACTACTTACAATTGCTAAATGTTTACTGTTGAATATAATCCTAACCTACCTGGTATCATTAGTAGGTCTATTTTCTACCAGTAAAAATATCTTATAATCATCAGAGTTACTGTTAACATATTGTTTTAGTTTTTGTCTTATAACAGGGTCTGATTCAGTCTGTGATATATATTTTATTAATATCTCTTCTATTGTTCTCTTCTCATTTACTCTACAATATAATGATACAATACAATACAATTATGATCATATTAATCTTCATGAATATTTCAAAGTATTTGAAAGGATCCTAGGGAGACTTTATCAATATCATTACAAAATCTGGCTTCTTATATTCTTCCAGTACGCATACAAGTTCTATTTTTCTTCATATTTGCAATCAGCACTTAACAGTTACCTTCCAAATGAACAACAGTAAGCCTTACCTTGTTTCTGTATAACTGACATTAGCTTGAGGAAAAATAAGATCCACTTTCCATGATATTTCCTTATCTCTGAAACATTACATACATTTGTATAATTAAGCTACAAGATGCCTTTCAATAATAAACAAAATATTTTCACTGTTAAAATAGTGCTCAGTACACTAACTTTAGAGCGAAATATTAAAACAGATCCTGAAATATGTTGTTACTCAGAGTTCATGCTGTGTAATCTTAAATGATATATTACTATGTTTCAGAACATACTCCTTGTTAATATTCAGTGTTAGAAGGCGATGAGAACATAGTCTCATGAAAGCACTGGCCTTGTTTACAAAGTAAAGATTTATGATAAAACAAAGAGCAATTCAGTGTCAAGACAATAAAGTTAAACATGTTTAATTTGGACAGAAGTAATCTAGTATATCCTAAATCAAATTTTCTGGTTTCCCAATATCATTATAAACATACCTAAATAAATATCTAGTTGAATTGGTTTTCCGTCTTGACATTGGATAAGGTAAAACTTTTAAATCTGTTTGTCTTTCCCTAGCCATCTTTATTAACTGATTTACCTACAACATTCAATTTAAACTTGTTTGTTAAATGTTTCAAATTTTCAAATGGACATTGAAATAATGTGATATATGTTCTTGTTATTGAAAATACCAGAAAACTCATAATCTCTACAATGATTTGATATAAAGAACTTGCAAAATAAGATATATAACAAGCAACTTCTTTTGTCATTTAATCTGATGAGGACTAAGAGTTGTACTTATTTTTCTATGGAATACGGACATGTGGCTTCAAGGCCAAATGATATTTAGGCAATATGTACATGTAGCATATAATCTGTTATATTTAACTAAATACACTCACTGGATGTGGTCGATCTTTTCTTAATCTTAAATCATCTCTGTTAGCATTACTCACTTTCCTGGCTGTATCTTCTAATAATCTATAATCTACAATAAAAAATACCCTTGTAACCACTTTTAATCACATTTTCAAATCACAAATTCAAATAAAACAAATTTAAGATACATTTTGTGCTGTAGTTCTTATTTTGACATCAATAGCAATTCAAAATCATATAAACTTTTTAAAATATATTTGATGCTTCTGAGCCAGCAAACTTGGACTATTTCAACTGCTGCTGCTACTGCTGCTCTATCACTGTCATAATCTGTCAACACTTATTGCTATTTGAACTATTCTATTGAATAAAAAATAAAAATTACCACTTAGTAGATCTGTTTCTGAGAATTTATTAATAGATATATAGGCTGTTTTATCTCTTACACCATTACAATCTTTCTCTAGTTTATGTTTTTTAACACACATCAAACTACATGTTTTAATCATGCACCTTGGACAGGTATATTTAGCTAGGTTTTCATTACAATCAATACACCTGAAAAATGTTAAGATCAAAAGATTCTTAAAGGTTTCATAAAGGTCACTTCGTCCTTTAGTTGAATATATCTGTCAATTCCATACCAGATGAAAAAGAAGTAGCATGCTAGATTGGACTGTCAATTCCAGCAGTATTTAGTGATGAAAATTGAAAGAGAAATTGATTTTGAAGTTTGAGAAGATGGATTTCAGTTGTGTATCTTTTGATTTTGATCTCTGTATATAAAGCCACCCTTCCCATCCATTAAAACGACACATACTTATCGTTGGTCATTATGACCCTTATGTAGATTTCACCGCGGACTTTTTACTGATTTACTTTCTCTCTGAGATTCGTTATACAGAATGTAAACAAAACCCACATGTTAATTCCTAAATTTGTAAATACCAAAGATGAAATAAAACGAATCAAAATTGAATTATAAATCATTAAACAGAAATTATAGCTTAAGGATAAAAGCGTTTATTTATCAAACATTTTTAGATGCATTGCTTGAGAATATGACCCAATGAGTTATATAAGATTTTATAAGTATTTCGTTTTCTTATTGTTCTACTTCCAATGACTTCCTAAAATAAAGTACTTCTCAAGTTTTGATGACGTATTTCACGTAACAAATCTAGTGACAAGCTAAATTTTCATAATTTATTAAGATATTTCGACGACTGCGCANATAATGTGCTTCAATAATCTATTCCACATTACGGAAATGATGTCTGATTTAATTGAATCGAAAATGGTTGACGAGACATAAGTTTTCTGTCGATGATTAGTGACTTTGGCCCTTTTACATATCCCCAAGTCATATCAAATCAAAACAAATCGAAAGTAGACTAGATCGAGATAGGTAAATATAGATATTGCAACTTTTTAAATCATAAGGGACACATGGAATTGATTAAGTATGCTAAAAGTAATATTTAGATAACAACTTAAAAACTTAACCAGAGGCATGCCTTGCCCCCATAGAGCCTATGATGGCCTAATAAAAAGCCGGTAACAACCAGTACAGTGGTGTAACCTATTTTCGTGGATATAAGGATTCAACACTGAATTTCGTCAAAGTTAAAAAAACGAAAAAAATACTTTTATGTCTTAGATGTTTCCTCAGATATTCTACAAAATAATATAAGTATGGATACCGGGTGGTATAATTAACTTCTCTTAGTATTTATCTTTAATATCAATTCATTATAACTAGTGACAATTCGTTCAAAGAACCAAGATTTAAAAAAAAAAATAGTGACTGACAAAATAAGATACGTAACGTGATTTATTGCTAAAAGTCACTGAAACAACATAAGAATACGGTCCACTTTGTGTTCCATAGAAATTTTCTGCTGACATGGAATCCGCTAGTTGATCACGTGACTTCATTCATTGGAATATATTCTAGCAGACGACACTTGGAATTCCGATTACCGCTTGGGATTATAAGGAAATTCAACCGATATCGTTTGGTAATAAGTGAAATCCGCCATTTTGTATTTGTCAAAGTATACATTATTACATTTTACCTTGCTTGAAACTACTGGATTCATTCTACTAGCTGATATTGTAGATAAAACCCATGTTTATCAAAACAAACTAATGCGAGGTCGCGCAAGGTCGCTCATGTAAATTATTAATCCTTTCCGGAAATCCACGAATAATAGGTTTCCACGAAATTAAGTTACTTGACTGTATGTGAATATCCATGATTTTCGGATGTGGGGTGCCAGGACAGATATTTAGTATGTTAATTATTTCGAACATGACTGCTTTTTATACAGCACTTAGCAGGTGCTATATCATAGCTAATTAATGAATGAATTGAATTGTTGAGTCTTTCTGATTATAATGTCAAGTATGTGATACGGTCAATTTTTACAAAGTTTTAAACTTGTTTATTTACAGCTGCAATAGGTTAAAAAGACTTATTCATTAATCTTATGTTTACATAAAGCATCATGGGGTTGAACAAATTGATTTTGGTCAGTGTAGTGTTTCTACAAGTCTACAGTTTGAAAGACAAGAAGCTGTCTATTGGTGGTATATTTCCTATGAATGGTAGTTGGGCTGGTGGTCAGGCCTGTCTACCTGCTGTATTGATGGCATTACAAGATGTCAATAATAGAAGTGATATTTTAAGAGATTATGAACTGGAAATGAGTTTTGATGATAGTCAGGTAATTAGTCTAATTTTGATACTGATGGACAAATTTTTTTTTTTTTAATATCCAATATTTATTGACCTCATTTCATAATTGTCAAGTTAAAATAAGAACTGTTATATCTAAGTGATGGTATCCTTGGATTAATTTGGATGTAAAAGATAAATTATATGCTAATATGCACTATTTCTATTTTCTAGAAAAAGTTCAATATCCTGTCTCTTGGTACTCCTAAAAACCTTAATATCTATTTCAGTGTATGCCAGGTCTTGGTACTAAAGTTCTATATAATTTACTGTATACTAAACCAGTGAAATTAATGGTGCTCAGTGGATGTAGTATTGTCTCAACATTTGTTGCTCAAGCTGCTAAAATGTGGAACCTAGTGGTGGTAAGATTTTCTTTTGAATTTGAAATTTATGTGACATCTTTGCATGTTTGTGGAATGTTGATTGAATTTTACCAATCATTTTTTATGTGAATTAGAATATCTGCTTCAAAATGCTACTGTTGGGTTCATAAGAAAGTTTGATGACACAGATCACAGATGACAATTTTCAGCCAAAATTAAGGACATTTTCAGTTGAAATTTTCAGGAGGTTAAGTGAATTTCCATTATTTTAAACAATTAATTATCAATAATTAGATTGATAATTAACCTTTGTGATAGTCACTAGGGTGTTGTCATGATTATATTATTGCTATTTCAGTTAGCATATGGTGCTAGTTCTCCAGCTTTATCAAATAGACAAAGATTTCCTACATTCTTTAGAACCCATCCATCAGCAACACTTCACAATCCTACCAGAGTTAAAATATTCCAGAAGTTTGGCTGGACTAAAATAGCAACTATACAGGATACTCAAGAGGTTTTTCAATCTGTAAGCTATTTTAAATTTCATATTAGCTTGTAATACTCACTAACACTGAACTTATTAAGGACTGTCATGATTTTGTTTTTGTTACAAATTAAAGTTTTAATATCTCTTTTGAGTTAAATGCCTTAATAAAAACTGAATGAAAGAACACTTGTACCGGTACATTAATATTTTAAATGTTGAATTTCCCAAATGTAAAAAATTCAAGTTTAATTTTCCTTTAACAGATAATGATTGCCTTTCTAGCATTATTCATTTGTTTTGTAGACTAAAGAGGACCTGTCTAAACGTGTAAAAGCAGCAGGTATTAATATAGTAGCAACACAAACATTTCTTACAGATCCTGTTAATGCTGTTAGAAGTTTGAAGGTATTTTATATTTTACACATCATTTGATCACTTTGATTAACATGTAGTTGACTGAGTGTTTTGTTATTGTGTTGGACCTTGTTGACCATCTATTAATATCTCTCTTTAAAGCTTTTATTGGAATGTTATATTAAATGTAGGCATACTTTCGTATGCACTGGCCATGCATCAGGATTCAAAACCACGGAACCTAACAATCTAACTTGCTACAGGAAGAGCTTTTCATTTTATTTATTATTTTAGAGACAAGATGCTAGGATTATTGTTGGATTATTTTATGAAGATGCTGCTAGAAAAGTATTTTGTCAGGTATTTTGATGCTTTATTATTCTGGAATTAAAATATTTTACAACCAAACAATGTTTTGAAATTTTCACTCTGGTAAGGGGTTATCATTATACACAATATTATTATTACATTTTTGCCTGTTGTTTCTGAATTTTAAAGGCTAGTCTCTGTTTATTTTCTGATGTGTTATCTTAATTTATTATCAAGATATTTCAGATATAAATTAAGCTGTTTATTTTGTAGGTATATAAAGAGAAACTGTATGGTAAGAAGTATGTCTGGTTATTAATTGGTTGGTACCCTGATAATTGGTATAAGAGTAAATTAGACAGTATTAATTGTACAGGAGATCAGTTGGCTGAGGCTTTAGAAGGTCATTTTACTACTGAAGCTGTTATTCTTCATCAAGACTCTTCTATGACAGATGTAGGAATGGTAGGTGTTCATTTTGTAATGTTTTGATTATGGCAATCAGGTATTAAGTAAGTTGAATAACCAGAAATTTGATTCAGTTTTGTTTTTTATTCTAGAATGAACCACTAAAGTTTTTTGGTCAGTACATGTGCAGAATTTAATATAGTATTTGATAATATTTTAAAGTTCTTCCACAATAACTCAAAAATCTTATCAGTATCATAATTGGTGTCTGGCACCACAAAGAAGACATGTTAATGACATATGGAAAACTGTTTTTGTAGACAGCACCAGAGTTTACTAGAAGATTAGATGAGAAATTAAGATATGAAAAGAATATAACAGATACTAGTTTAGTGACTGGTTATCCTGAAGCACCTCTAGCCTATGATGCTGTGTGGGCTATGGCTTTAGCTTTAAATAAAACTGCTGTCAGGTTAGTATCATGATGTCTTTATTGTGTTCAAGTGTTCATTGAATGCATTGCCTAGATCAGGGTCTCTCAAGTGAATGTGCCATTGTTAAAAAGTGACTCATTATGGTTTTATACTGTAATATTTTGTGTATATTTTGAATCACAAGAGTGAAAATTTTTTTTTTATATAATGTTTTTTTTAGAAACCTGTCATACTTTTAAAGTAAATGGGAAACATGGACCTAGTTAAGGTTTTATGAAATAATTTTTTTTTTTTTCAGATTAGCTGAAAAGAATTTAAGCTTATTAGATTTTGATTATGTGAATAAAAATATAACTGATGAAATTTATTCAGCCATGAATTCCACAAAGTTTCTTGGTGTTTCTGTAAGTCAGCTTCTTTTTTGTCAATGTTAGCTTTTAATGTTCAAAGAGTTCAAATAATTACCACCCCCATCCTGTTATCAGATTGAGTTGAGAAATGGAACTACAGCAGGCTGTAGTAATACCACCTAGCAAAGTTTCTACATTGCAAGCCATTCCTCATCTACAGTAGTCCAATAAGGTGGAGATATTTTATTGCTATCTTGTATTAGTAAAGGATTTAAATGAGGAGGATCCATATATCATTGTACATATGACTAGCATCCATGCTCAATATAGATATAATAACACAATTTTTACTTTATTAATTTAATATATTAATTCTCTTTTAGGGTAATGTTGCATTTTCGTCTCAAGGAGATAGAATAGCCTGGACTCAGATAGAACAAATGATAAGTAAGTTGTCTTCCTACAATTATCCAGTTTTTTTTGTTTATGGTGCGAATTGAAATTGAAATTTTAAAACATTTAAAAAAATAAAATGAAACTGTATATATGTCATTTTTGAATTGGTTTATGTTGGTTATAAATCATGTAAAGCCCTGCTGTGTGGTCTTACTCATATGATTCAATTAATTTGTTCTGTAATATTACAGATGGAACATATCATAAACTAGGCTATTATGACAGTGTAGCTGATAATTTAACTTGGTTTGGGAAAGAAAAATGGAAAGGTAAGTAATTCATTATATAACTGATTAAATTGTTCTGTAAAACAGTAGATTCCCCTCAAAATTTAAAGGGTTGCTAATTATTGTACATCAGGCATGGCACAAAATATAAATAGAAGAAGAAAAAAAGGAATTGCTGAAGCTCACTGAAAGACCACTAATACATGCAGAGATGTTGATTTTTGTTGTTATTGCAAATTGCACCCTTATACTGTGGATTCGGAGCGCAAATTCAACATAAGCCTATTTTATTTGACAGTGCATAAGAGAATAGATATGTCAGTTTACCTTCAGTTTCTATGCTTCTTGTATTTTACATAATTGATTAAAATATCGAACAATACTCAAGGCATTAAAATTTGTATTTCAGGTGGTAAAATACCTAAAGACCATACAGTAGTGGTGAATTCATTAAGAGTTGTGTCCCCTGCTTTATATTATTCTATGTGTGGTGTGGCCTCACTGGGTATATTAGCTGGGGTTGTATGTTTATTGTTTAATTATACCAATAGAAATAGAAGGTAAGTCAATTTCAACATATTTTTGTCTTTTATAGAATTATAGCATTGTCTCAGCCTCTAGTTAACAGTATAACCTGTATTGGGTGTATGATATGTTTATTATATTACAGGATTATAGCATTGTCTCAGCCTCTAGTTAACAGTATAACCTGTATTGGGTGTATGATATGTTTAATATATGACAGAATTATAGCATTGTCTCAGCCTCTAGTTAACAGTATAACCTGTATTGGGTGTATGATATGTTTATTATATTACAGGATTATAGCATTGTCTCAGCCTCTAGTTAACAGTATAACCTGTATTGGGTGTATGATATGTTTAATATATTACAGGATTATAGCATTGTCTCAGCCTCTAGTTAACAGTATAACCTGTATTGGGTGTATGATATGTTTAATATATTACAGATTATAGCATTGTCTCAGCCTCTAGTTAACAGTATAACCTGTATTGGGTGTATGATATGTTTAATATATTACAGGATTATAGCATTGTCTCAGCCTCTAGTTAACAGTATAACCTGTATTGGGTGTATGATATGTTTATTATATTACAGGATTATAGCATTGTCTCAGCCTCTAGTTAACAGTATAACTTGTATTGGGTGTATGATATGTTTAATATATTATAGAGATTATAGCATTGTCTCAGCCTCTAGTTAACAGTATAACCTGTATTGGGTGTATGATATGTTTAATATATTACAGGATTATAGCATTGTCTCAGCCTCTAGTTAACAGTATAACCTGTATTGGGTGTATGATATGTTTATTATATTATAGGATTATAGCATTGTCTCAGCCTCTAGTTAACAGTATAACCTGTATTGGGTGTATGATATGTTTAATATATTACAGGATTATAGCATTGTCTCAGCCTCTAGTTAACAGTATAACCTGTATTGGGTGTATGATATGTTTATTATGTATATTTATGGTTGGTTTAGATGGTAAATTTCTACCTGCTGATAAATATTCTCTCAAATGTCAGGTCAGTCCTGTTTGTAGATGTATTTCATGTTGTCAAATAAACTAAGTTAAGGCTGCAGATTGATAAATTTTGGTGTTATTGTGTATGTATTTTAAACAGCCTCTCAGTTTTACAATATGATGTTTAACCAATGAGCCAAATACAGATTTTTGTATGACTTTAAGATCTGCAAGTTCAAAAGATTTTTTCTTTGAAATCAGGAAAAAAGTTTTTTTTTTAAATAAGACAACTATGATGTAGGTTAATTTATGATTGTAGGTTGGAGCATGGATTCTATCTATAGGATTTACTCTAGGATATGGTAGTATGTTTGCTAAGGTCTGGATGGTTCACAAATTAACAACAGCTTCAAAAAAAGAGAGAAAGGTATATATCTTTCAATCACTTTATTTAAATGTTAAAGTTGGAATCTGGCCAGTAGCGGAGCCGGTTTACGTCCGAAGAGGGGGGGCAGGGGCGAAATATCTGAGATTGCCTGAATTTCTAACCTAGTTATGAGATTTTTGCCCGAAAAACTTCCGTTCAGGGCTGCGAGGGGGTGAGGCTAACACCTCTGCCCCCCTTTCAGCTCCGCCACTGAATCTAGCCTTATCACACAAAGAGAAAAGAATATAAGATTTAATATGCCAAACTGCTTAATATTTCTGTGTATTAAGAGTTAACTGAAGTAAATGTTATGTGTGATTCTCACAAAACATGGGCTTGATTGATGAGTTCTGCTTGTTCTGTATGTCTGACGTGCAAACATGAGTAGGTGTAGAGAAAATTGGTATAACATAAAAAGTGAATAGAACGCTAATCTTTAATGTGATGCATCAACTTTTGTACTGTGCAGTCGATGACTAGTCAAAAATGTGTCTGAGTACACCAAGAGTTATTAACTTATTATTTCAGGAGTGGGGAGTTCATGTAGTATTAAGTATCTTCCTGGCATTAGATGTAGCTATTTTAACAATATGGCAGATAATGGATCCATTACAGAGAAAACTGGAATTTTTTCCTCTAGAAAATCCACGAAATACTGATGAAGATATTAAGTTATTACCACAATTAGAACATTGTTACTCTGAACATCTGTCTATCTGGCTCGGTAAGAATTTAAATGATTTTCAACCTGAAACAAATAAACTTATCTTAATATGTGATTTGCCAACTTGCAATAGCTGCCAATATATAAAAATGGGGGTTTTGATCAATCTACAACTATATTATTGTTAACAAACAAAATTTTAACTGAGAACTATGGTGAAAATCGTTTGAAAATCAAACTGATTTTAAAAAAAAGTTATAAGAATTAATCTTTAATGTCATTAATGTCAAGATAAAAATTCAATTCATAATATTAGTAAAAATCAATATATTATAAGGAATTGGGATACTGATTTAATCTTTATTCCTGTTTTTATTAAGCTGACAGTCACTTTCTCTTTAAGACAATGTTATATAATGTTTATTTGTAGGTGTATTATTTGGTTATAAATCTATATTATTGATATTTGGTATATTTTTATCATATGAACTAAGAAGTGTCAAGTTAAAACAAGTCAATGATTCTAAATTTGTTGCTATGGGAATATATAATGTAGTAGTAAGTTTATCATTTGTTTATTTCATGTTCCACTGTCCTGGCAAAATTTTCCCTCATTGCACACTGCATGCATGATATTGCATGTCTTCATTAGCCCAATTAGGTGCAGAAAAGTAAAACGCTAAACTCTATTCATTTCATTTTTTCTGATCTATTGTTCAAAAAATATTGTGAAATTAGACTTGCTGTGGTTCATGTTCATGTAGGAAAGCTGATACTTGTACCAGTATTCTGTATAAAAAAAAAATGTTTTGATGTATATCATATAATTTGTGAATATAGTGTGCACCCTTTTTACCATCTTGTAAGATACACTACCCTATACATTACACACTGGCTTTGTATACTTATGGTGTATTTGTAGTAATTTGTATTTATAAAATGAAATATATTTGTAGGTTATGTGTGTCATCACAGCACCAATAACATTAATAATAGGACATCAACAAGATGCTACTTTTGCTTTCATCTCATTAGCTATTGTTCTATGTAGCTTTTTATCAATGGGACTTCTGTTTGTACCAAAGGTGAGTACAATATTTGTGTGTAGGCCTTCATATTTATAATTGATCAAATACAATGCATAAAATAATTTTTGATATTAAAATTTCACTAATGAGCAAATCATTTTCTTAAATGATAGAGACATCATCACAGTTCAACTTAATTCTCTGAAAAGAATGCTGTCTGCATTATATAGAGGTAGGAGAGCACAGATACATAGTGGCATCAGGTTGGCCATATAGGTTGAAGAATTACCTCAGGCTCTTTATTCCCATCTGCCTAACTTCCAAAACAGGTGCCATTGATCAAAATCAAGACTCTCTTGGAGGATGACTGAGTGCTTTGATTGTACCATTACAAAGTTAACAATGAAATCATGTTATATTGTAGATGGTTGAAGTAAAGCGTCACAGTTCAGCTGATGAAGAAGATAATTCAGGTTTAACAGACTCACTGGTCAGTAGAGAGGAAGAAGAGAGACACCAAAGATTACTGGCTGAAAATGAACAGCTGAAAAAACAAATTGCTGATGTAAGTAGATTTATGAGCTATGATATATACATGTCTTTGTTATGAATCAACATGATCGCTCACAAGTAAAATAAAGACTTGAATTTTTATGGTCTGCAGTAAAATAAGTACTTTGGCCTAAAAAGATACTTAAGGTTCATAGAAATTTCTTATGTCACCTTTCACTTTTCACCACAATGTCAAGGTTTTACAAACTCCTGCATATACCTTGACATCGTCAGAGACTGTTCTTGTCACCTGGACAATGGACATTTGTAATATAGGTGAATTGATTGCATGCTAGTGAATAAAACTGATCAGAGCCCTTGACAGCAAGATTGTCAACAATGGGGCAACGCTTGTAGCTACCTAAGGGCTCTGATTGGCTGTATTCATTGGCATACAATCCAATTATGGCATTGCCTAATGATGTCAACACATTATAGAGTTCATAATACCTTGACTTTGCGAAGAGTGAGTTATCCCCAATTATCCATATAAAAATATTTTTGGCAAGTTAACAGGTGATAAACTAGTGTCCAAAAGAAACGATACCACCTGTTTACAACGACATAAAAGAAAAACTAAACAATGCAGAAGTTTAGGATTGGTGTTATGCTTTTGAGAAATCCTTTCACAACATCTGTACAAAAATTTCATTTCAATAAAATCTGTACAACCAATATGACAAGCCTTTAAAGATGGGTGGGGTCGAAAAAAGAACATTTCGTTAGAGCACTGATCCCAGAAACAACGGGAAATGTCACTCCACACGTCACAAAGTCAAGTCAGTAGCGGGTATGTCCACCGTGAGCATCAATACATGCCAGAACACGCCTACGGACTGATGCCGTCAAACGTATGATGACGTTGGGAGTGATGCGTTGCCATTCCTCGAGGAGACATCGTTCCAAGTCCTGGACGTTGACTGGAGGCACACGGCGACGTCGGATTTGCCGATCGAGGTGGTCCCATAAGTGCTCGATGGGATTCATATCCGGTGAACATGCGGGCCATGGCAAAACCTGTACGTTGGCGTTGGCAAGGAAGTTCTGTGTCAATCTTGCTGTGTGTGGCCTTGCATTGTCATGTTGGAAAAGGAGTCCACGAGGCTGTTGCTGAATTAAGGGCACCACAACAGGCCGTAGGATGTCATCAATATAACGCTGTGCATTCAGGTTTCCACGAATTACGACAAGCCTCGTTTTGACGTCACCACATATGCCACCCCAAACCATTAACCCTCCACCTCCAAACGGCCGGACCTGTTGGATACAGTTAGGCGCCAAACGTTCACCAAATCGTCGGTATACAAGCTGCCGTCCATCGTTTTTGAAGATGAGGAATCTGCTCTCATCAGAGAACATAACACGTGCCCAGTCCCGCCGTTGCCAACGTCGAACTCGCCTGGCCCAGATCAGTCTGTTGTTCCGGTGTCGAGGCGTCAGGAGCGGTCCGCGGTAGGGATGACGTGGCCGGATACCATACTGCCATAGTCTCCTGTAGACGGTCTGTCGACTGATCCTGTGTCCCAGTGCTGTAGCCGCCGTGGACGTCGCTGTTACGGTGTGGTTCCTCAGGTGTAACACCCGAATGTAACGATCTTCACGGGGCGTGGTTACTCGTGGTCTTCCACTCCTGAGCCTGTCTTACGTCTGACGTAACCGCTGCATCAACCTGGTGATAGTGATGCGTGCGCAGCCCAACCTTCTGGCGACGTTGACGTGTGTCGCTCCTTGTTGGACCATTCCAACGGCTCTCTGTCTCTCGATGGCTGTCAAACGTGGCATATCTTGTGTTCTTTTTGTTGCTGTGATATCAACGTGTCTGATCAGCCGTTTTATACGTGCAGAACATGCTAGAGAGGGAAATGTCACTTTCATGAAATTTACGTTTTTTCCCGGAAGTGATCACGTGTTCCGGGTATTTTTATCGACTATGCTGTGTTTGGGATGTGCAATACGAATTGGCATGTTTTCATATTAGACAATTCACTTAGTAAAAAACAATTTTGAAAATAAGTTGGTATCGTTTCTTTTGGACACTAGTTTATAAATGTTTTACAGGTAGAAGAGAAGATAAAAGATGTCAATGGTAAACTACAAGAAAGAGCTCGACAGAGAATATTAATGTCTAAAGATCAGAAAGATACAGAACAAAAATTACCAGATTCTAATAAACCAACTGGTCGTAAGATTAGATTTTGTGAAGAAGTAGAAGAAGTACCACCGAGTTACTGCCTTAATCAAGATTGTCATCCCATATCAAACACCAGATCAGAGCCATTCTGCTGAATTAGACATGGTGTGGCAGATTTGGCGTGTGATTAGAACAGTGTCTCATATAAAAGCACTGGTCTTGGTCAGAAAATAAAGATTTATGGTAAAACAAAGTGAAAGTTAGGTGATTGCTATCCTGCTGTTGTGTCATATTGTACTGGTCACTGACAATCTGGAAACCTGTGATATTGTCAAACTTTATGAATGGACAGAATATTTGTCATTCAAATTTATCTTTGTCTGTCCGGATTGATCCAAGATAGAGATACATGTATTTGTGCCAAATGTATGTCATAGATTAGACATTGTGTTGATTAAACCATAGAGCTAGTCACTGGTAAATACCACAAGTCTGTTTGTTAGTAATAAAAAATAATTAATATTGTTATTTTAAAGATTTTTAGATTGTTTTTTACTCTGTCAATAAAAAGTCAACTCCATTGTATTCCAATGTTTCTATCGCAGTCCTGTTCTATTGACGATATCTTTAACCAATCAAAGACTGTCTTGTTGGACCAATTTCTTGATAACAATTACAATATCAAGGATATCAAAGTTGAGCAATGTGCTGGCCTCATGGAGTTTGCTATTCCACCATTCGCCATTGTTATAAACTACTTTTCCATAATTCTTTCAAAGAGCAAAACAGTTTTAACCTCAGTTATTAACCCAAAAATAGCATCCTTTCATCATTTATCTATTCATTACAACCGTCCAAATTTCTTTACACATGTACTAAAGGCATACAACTATAGTCAAGCAAAGATATTTTCTCTCATCCTGGTCTGATTCAAAACAAACACGAGTAGTCCATTATATTGTTGTAATTTTCAACAGTAATCAACACAATGTCAGTCTAGACTGCAGTTTCTATTACTGTTAATTTTACCCTAAAATAAAGTAGATTGTTCGTATTTAGATTTTGAATCACTTTAGGTGGGTTCATTATAAACCAAAACTTAGAAATTTAAGATATTTACTCAACTCTTATTTTAAGTTACCTGAGATCCTTTAGATAGCTGCCAAGACAAACAAACAATTAGTTCTTTATGATTTTATATATAAATCAAACATTTACATACAAAATAATATTCAAGGATCACCTAAGTCCTGAAACATATTGTGTTTTATATCAATATTAAATAATGTACTCAACAAATTAGAAAGGATTCTTAGGCGTAATCAAATTATATATCTAAGCATTAAACTGTGCTGAAGTATCAAATTTCAATGTTTAACACCAAAGTCAAAAACAGTAGCAAAAATAACCAGGATTTGCTGAATAGTTAATTTTAACAGATCATAATTTTAAGTTTGTGACATTTTACAAAGGTATATAATGGGCAACATTTTGATTTGACCATCTTGTGTTTTAATGACACCTTCTACACCATCTATACTCAGTAATGTTCCTGTAGTTTCACGCTCATCTCCCAGAATAACTTTGGTTTTGTCATGTTTCTCTGGTCGAATCGGTTCCAGATGTTCACATGCAACATTCACCACCTTATCTTCATCAGGAATAAATACAGAACAGTTCCCACCAGACACACCTCGTATCACACCAGTTTGATAAATCAAGTTAGGATCATCGTGGGTTTCCTTGATCTTAATTTCAATATCTGTTGTATGCCAATCAGCCATACCATGATCCATGGCAGTTCCAGGTGTAGCAGGTGTGAATGGTGCTCCAGGTGTTAAAGGACTGTAGCCAACAGGTGATGGGGTACTAGTACCATAGCCAGCAGGAGAAGGTTGATAGCCAGCAGGACTAGGAGTACTGGAGTAACCAGGACTAGGTGCCTGATAACTGGATGGAGATGGTGAAGCAACATAGGGGGAGTAAGCACTACCAGGTGTTTGTGGAGTGTAAGGACCAGCTAGTGGACTGTCAGCTTGATAACCTGGAGTGCCTGGATTAGCTGATGATCCATAACCAGCAGGTGATGGAGAATCTTCAAATTGATAATCAAAGTCATTAGCTCTAGAGGGAGTGTTGGCATTAGATGGATCCCAAGCACTCTGTCCGCCACTTGGAGTTCTACTTCCATCATGAATTGGTGTCTGGCTTCCATAATGAGGTGTTCTACTGCCATCCTGTAATGGTGTCTGTGAACCATACATAGGTGTTCTTGATCCATACATGGGAGTTTGTCCACCATACATCGGAGTTCTGCCATATGTAGATGTAGCACCACCTGATTTTCCACCAGCAACATCGGCCAATCTTGATTTATCCACAGATATAGTTTTACAGCTGGAATGAAGCTCAACACGGGCAGTAGTCTCAGTGGAATCTTTAACAATACCAATATAACCCTTGAATGGCCCCTGCTTTATTCTGACAGTCTTGCCAATAAATTGTCTGTCTCTCCTACTAATTCCACCATCACCTCTACCCCTGCCTGCACCAGCTCCACCACTAGGATGAGCTGGACTAGAGATTCTTGGTGACATAAACCCAACATTTATACTAGTGTTACTCTGTCTGGATCCTCCAGCTAGCACTAAATGTCGAGTTTTACAAACAAAGTACCCACCATTTTCTGTCATCATTCTTGAGTTAAGGAAAGCAAAGTTTCTGTAGAGATGCTTAATTTCTCCCTGCCTTCCTGAATGTGGGCCATCAATAACTTTAACAATGTCTTTTACTTGGATGTTGTTGTTTTCAGAATCAAGGGCTACAGCTCGTTTGGTATCTTTCTTTCTATTTACAGCTTGAGGTTTGACACTGACAACTTTATTGTGCATACTGAGGACTTGGAAGTTTTCTTTTTCAAGTCTGACAATGCACCCTACAGTTTGAGGATCTAGTTGAACTAAATCACCAAACTGATACTGGCCCATGGAGTCAACACCAGTTGCCATATCCATACAAAGTTGAAGATCTTTTGGTAGAACTTTCAATTCATGCATGGTTAAATCAGAAAAGAGAACCACAACATTATCTTCTACTCTTACAATCAGACCAGTATCACCTTCATAACGTCCACCAATAACTTTCACATGATCACCCATCTTAAAAAATTTCTTCAACTCAGTTGCTGGAAACTCTAATGGATCCTTCAAATCTTCATGTTTTGGCATGATTGTAATTTTATTCCCATCAACACTGATCACTCTACCCTGAAGATGTATCAATTCACCATCACATACTTCAACTACATCTCCATCAGCTAAATTATGTGTTATTTCTGATGTTGTTTTTTGTGGAGCTAACTCAACATCTAAGCCATCAGGTTGATCTTCAAATTTCTCCAATTCAATCAAAGTTGGTTTCACACCATCAGCCATTATGGCTGACATAGCCATACTCTTAAACAGGAAACCTTTACGATTGAAACGATTTCCTTCAAAGATGAGAAAATCACCATCTGTTGTTACTTCACCACCAATTGACTTAATAGCATCCACATCAAACAGTTTTTGAGCAGGTCTTCTGCCTTTCTTACGTTTCTCAGGATTACTGTGATTTTTGAGGGCACCTCTAGGTTTACTGTAGTCGATTCTAGGTATCATTTTAAGATGAACAATGTTTTGAGATGGTTCCATGTAATCAACTTGAGCAAGATCATCTTTAAAGACACCTCTCTTCAAACGAACCCATGATCTAGTCTTCAGTTGTGTTGTCTGCTTAACTACTTTCATGACATCAGTCATTTCTTTGATTGGCACCATCTGCTGTTGCCACAGACCCATTCTTAAACTTCCAACACCTTCTATAGCCTGTTTCACATGGGTCTGTTTGTATGCCTCTATATAAATATACCCTTTCAAACCCTCTTTAGCCACAATAGATTTTATTTGTAGAGGTTCATCTGTAAACTGATAGGTGATGAACTTTCTCATCAGGAGCAATACTGTGGCCTTTTCCTCACCCATTCTACATTTAACAATCCATAAGTTTGGATCTTTAACACCAGGTAAAAGACCTTGTTGAGTAATTTCATCGGACATCTCTTCTCCATCACCAAATCTTTCGACGGCTGATCCTTCACCATATTTCTGTTTATAATATTGTTCAATCTCATCTTCTCTTTGACTGTCCCAAATTTGTTTCATTCTTTGATGACTTTCGATTTCTCTAGCACTTGGACCATCGTACGTTGACTTTCTTTCGATCAAATCCTCAGCTCCTTCTTCCCATTCTTCATCATCCTCTTCACCTTCATCATCAACATCAGCTTCTTCCAAGATAAATCTACTAACGTGTGATTTCTTCTTCTTTCGAACTCTTTCTTCCTCTTCCTCATCTTCTTCATAATCATCCTCTTCATCAATAGCTTCTCCTCCACTAACATCACCTGCATCACTATGTCCACCATCACTTCCCTTTTCTACATCACTGCTTTTATCATCATCACCACCTGAAAGACATATCAATACACTGGTGAGTGGTGCAAATAAAACTAACAATAAACGATGTCAGGATTATCACTTATTATTACATACGATGAAAAACCTTATTGAAGAAATTCATCAATATCATTATCCCAATTTAAAAAGAGTAAGGTACAAGCTTCTTTACTACTAGTACTAAGCCTACTGGTGTCAGTCAACTCGTCGAATATTTAAAGAGGGTGGCAACAAAATAAGCATAATAAATGACAATGTGCAAAATTAACTTAAAAAGTGCAAAATAATCAGAGACTGTTTCAAAACACTAAAAATTATCACAGTTTAGATGAGTTTCACCATTAAATTTACGATACATAAATGTTTCTACACACCTGCATCACTGCCCGGTGCAGAAAAATCACTATCGTCTGAATCAGACATCGTTTTGTATCAATTATTGGAATAAAAAGAGCAAATTTCGATTATTTTGTAATATTTTAAGTTTCTAAATTTGTGGTATATTTCCGGTTTTCCTCCGCATGCCTCAAAATGAGATACTTCCGGTCTACTTTCGTTTTTATATTAGAAATGTATAAAATCAAGAATATGATCTTTTTTATCGATCTGCAACTTGCCAGAGCCTTAAACAATTCAAAACGCGATCCCAGAAAAATTTCCAAATTTGGCAATACTCAATACATGGTGTAGTTTATTTTTTTTGACTAATTTCAAATTGTTAACGGCAGCTACTGCCCGAGTTATCTTTTCTTGTTTGTGGTCCATGGCATCATGTCACCGTTGATCTGATTCGCTACTATATTTAGACTCACCAATAAGTGGCGTTAATACAAAGATTATATTTATTAAAAAATGGCGAGATGTGGAATAAACAAGATCATGTCATCTGACAAAACGATGTTGATTTTAATTGTGTGTCTTCTTGTAAGCGTAGGGAATGGAAAGAAACATTTTCTTAAGTTAGAGGTAATAATAGAATCAGCCAATTTCAGTCATGATTAGTTTGGTTCTTGGTGTACAGGAATCAGTATGCCTTAATTTGCCTGATTAGTAATTGCCTCCTGGCTCCAGACCGGTCTTCCATAAGTTCCATAGTCATAGTCGTTAGGTGTTATATTTCTATTTTACTCATAGTGATCATTGGTAGGCAGATTTCTTTAATTATTACCTGAGTAAAAGTATACAGATATGTTACATCTTCTTGGGCATTTTATTTTCAAAGTTAGCAACACTAACAACAATCAACAACAGTCATATCAATACAAGAAAGAACTTGATGAAAACTGATGTAGCCTACCCGACTGCCAAGTCTTTGCAAGTTCATTGGTTATTTTTTTTCATATGAATAGGCATATCAGCTTCAAAATAGTACTGTTATTGTTGGAATGACTTTGTGTTGTTAAGAATAGAAACAACACCGAATTTCGTCAAAGTTAAAAAACGAAAAAAAATTTTTTATGTCTTAGATGTTTCCTCAGATATTCTACAAAATAATAGAAATTGGTTTATTTCGATTTTCTTTATGAATCCTTCCCTTTGACCCATATTTCATGAGCAACCAACTCGGCAACGGCGGCAGAATGCGACACCTATTTTCGTGTACAATGTTTGATCTATAAATAAGTCTAGAAAAACACGTTGTATGGATACCAGGTGGTATAATTAACTTCTCTTAGTATTTATCTTTAATATCAATTCATTATAACTAGTGACAATTCCTTCAAAGAACCAAGATTTAAAAAAAAAAATAGTGACTGACAAAATAAGATACGTAGCGTGATTTATTGATAAAAGTCACTGAAACAACATAAGAATATGGTCCACTTTGTGTTCCATAGAAATTTTCTGCTGACACGGAATCCGCTAGTTCATTCGTTGGATTATATTCTAGCAGACGACACTTGGAATTCGGATTACCGCTCGGGATTATAATGAAATTCGGCCGATAAAAAATGGTGACGTTTGGTAATAAGTGAAATCCGCCATTTTGTATTTGTCAAAGTATACTTTAATACATTTTACCTTGCTTGAAATTACTGGATTCATTCTACTGGCTGATATTGTAGAGAAAACCCATGTTTATTAAAACAAACTAATGCGAAGGTCGCGCAAGGTCGCTCATGTAAATTAATTATCATTTCCGAAAATCCACGAAAAATAGGTTTCCACGAAATTAGGTTACTTGACTGTACTTGAATGATTTTTTTTATTAACACAAAGTCATTCTTTTGGTACTAGTACTACATTCTCAGTAGTGGTTTGAAGCCAAAACTTACAAAAATAATTGGTTAAATTCAATATACCAACTTGCAAAGTACTTAGTAGAAATAAGGTTACCTTCGCGAAGCTAGGACAGAACCAAGGATTTAGATGAAGTATCCTCTTGACCTTAAAAAGTTTATAGAATTCCTGTGCAGATCGAGTCTTGCACCTTATTTGTTTTAAGAATATCCAGAATGTCCTTAAAATCTTTCCACCTAGTTTGCAGGTTGTTGTAGGGGCTGACATGCAATAGCAAAGTCCTCTGAATGGTGACATTAAACCTGTAAGCTTATACTACAAATTGTGCATGTTAAGGACAGCTGATAAATTTGTAAGAAGGAATGTTTCCAATAAATTCTGTCATATTTTTAGGAGGATGATAGAAGACAGATAACAGTCAGTACATTTGGTTTTTTAAAAGGTGGCATATTGTCAGTTGATATCACTAATTTCCACTATACTATTACCAGTAAAAACCATGAAGTACCTAGAAATAAAACAGTAAGTACAATGCAGTTAATTGATAAACTATTTTTTTATGATTTTAACAACAGAACTCAGTGTGAAAATCAGACTTCTACCATTTTTTTCTCATTATTTAAAAAAAAAAGAAAATCCATTTTGATCAAATAAACTAATGCTCAAAAGAAAGTACCGACTAGGTTTGACCAATTGTTAGGAGAAAACAAAAGCAGATAGAAATGAACAACTATGTAATTCCAATAGAATATTCATTTCTACAACAAATTTACACAAATTTAAGTAACAGACAGCCGTGTTTACTGTTCGACCGGCACACAAAGACAAGGGGGGTCGGGTTTACTTTTACAGAAATTGAGAAGGCAAATTGTCTTTAAAAAATAATCAATATTTATTTATCAATTAATTAATTAATTAATAGCAAGTGTGACTCCCATTAGCAGCAATGCAGGCGGCAACACGTCGACGCATTGATGATGTAAGACGTTGGATGACGTTAGGCGTTATTCTTTGCCATTCTTCTACGAGACATTGTTCCAGCTGTTGAGCAGTGACAGGTTGCGTCGGTCGATTTCGGATTTGCCGATCGAGGTAATCCCATAGGTGTTCAATCGGATTCATGTCGGGAGAACAAGCTGGCCACGGTAAAACAACGACGTTGGCGTTTTGAAGAAGGTCATTTGTCAATCTTGCTGTATGTGGCCTTGCATTATCGTGTTGAAAGACAATGCCACGGGGTTGTTGCCGGATAAATGGTAGAACAACTGGTCGCAAAATCTCGTCTCTGTACCTTTGAGCATTAAGGTTGCCACGAATAGTCACAAGTGGTGTTTTCCTATCATCGCAGATCCCTCCCCACACCATCACACTACCGCCTCCAAACGCTCTGACTTCCTGAACACAATTTGGTCTTAAACGCTCACCTATACGTCTGTAAACACGAGCACGACCATCATTTTTGTAAAGACAAAACCTACTCTCGTCCGTGAACACCACTCACGAATCTGCCATCGCCGAACTCTCCTGGACCATGTCAATCGACGACGTCGGTATTGAAGTGTCATGTGCACTCCTCGGTAGGGGCGACGTGCTCGGATACCACATTCCCTCAGTCGCCGGTACACTGTGTGTCGACTGATACGATGCGCTGATGCCGTTGCTGTTGCAGTAACGAAACGATTCCTCAGATGAATTGTCCTGATGTGGCGGTCCTCACCTGGCTTTGTGACACGTGGTCGACCACTCCTAGGCCTGTCTGATGTACTGCCTGTTTGCCTCAAACGCTGCATCAATTTTGTTACAGTTTTTCTGGAGCAGCCGAAGGTTCTTGCGATCAAGGTGATGTTTGCTCCATGTTGCGCCATTCCCACAGCTCTTTCTCGTTCAATCCGGCTCAAACGTGGCATACTTTTTGTGTTTTTCTTTATCCTCTGTTGCTAACTTGTCCAGTAAACTGATTTATACCCTCATCATGCACGTGCATTTCGTGCAACATCAGAATTTGTCGCTTTTTATTTTTAGCGTCGTTTGCGTAATTCGTTCACTTTTTTCATCATTTTTTCATGTGAAATTTTGTGTTGACCGTGTGTGAGATGTATTACAGTGGTTTAATCACTTTATTTTAATTTTTGTTAATCGTACTGTAAATTATACAGGTGGGTACTTTCTTTTGAGCATTAGTTTAGATAAAAATGTCTGAACTGCAGTCATAGTCATTGAGTTATAACCAGCCACATATCACAGGTATTTCATTAATGATATGATATAATTATAAAGTGCTGATATATAGAGATATGTGTTCAATGCTAATAAAATAAACTAGACTATCTAGCTATATCAGCATTTTTGCAGAAAGATGATATCAATGAAACTTCAAATACCTGTGGACAATTTTAAAATTTTTGCCAGTCATCTCTGATTGAAGCTCTAAAATGACTGTAGAATTGATCTTTGGGACATTCAATACAAATGTGCTAGATTTTTTCATGCCTTTTTGATGATAATTGCCACAAAATCTCAAATTTATTGCAATTAGTACTACTGTTTTACCTTTTATTGTAGCTGTTTGGTTTTACCTTAGATAAGAGTGGTAATTCAGGATTATCTACATATATGGTAAGTTGAGTTCAAAATTTATGCCTAAGCTACAAAATACTAAAATTCAATGCTAATTGAACTGCCTTCTGTGGCATCAGGATTGATTATAAATTATGGCTATTTTTTGATTTATAAATGTATATTAGACCCCACAGAAAGGCAGTGGATATAATTATGAATGTGTAGATATGTTGGTATATGTTCAATGTATTTTATAAACTAATAAATAAATAAATGTCTTATAGGAAAATGGTCAACAGCATTGTATTTTACAAAATTTTGATGATGGGATACCCGGTAAAAATCAAGATTCTGTATCAGTGGTTGTATTCAAGATGGATCTAGATAATCTAAGGTAATAATTTTAGTATGTGTTGTCTGTTGTCCTACATTTTCTCTAAACATAACATTTGATCTGTTACATTTACATATGACTTTTACATATATATCATTGTTCAAGTTCAAGACTATAGTCAGATAATTTGAATCGCATTGAATCTAAATGCCATGCTCAGTCTGAATTGTAACTTCAGAATTCTTACATCTGGATCATGAATTAGCTATGAAGTCCAGCAAAGGTGATTGTATACATTCAATGCTGATATGTGTTCATTCTAGATCATGTTTTGAACTATCCCTGTCAGTGCACAATCATCTTTGCCTGATTAGATTCTCAGATGTGTATTACTCTTTTTGATCATTTTGTTAGTATGCAGAATTATCATTTATAGGATGGGAGTAGAAATAAAGGGAGATGATTTAGCTAATCTAACTATATCCTCCAAGGACTATGATAGTTACCAAGAAACCATCAGAAAACACCAAACTAACAGACGTGCTTCAGGCCAGTTACTAAGAATGCAAACAAGGGATTTAAGCCATGTTGAAGAAACTGGAAAAGATCACAGTAATGATACCTTGTTAGTCAATGAAACTGCTACAGCATCCAATAGTGTTTCAAATACACAAAATACACAAAAAACTAAAACCTTGTCACAGGAAACAA